GGATTGTTAGGCACAACAGCAAGAGAAACTCCCTTTTCTTTTGGTGTCACAGGATATTTAATGTCCACCTGAACAGTCAGAGAGGGCTTTGGTTTCAACACCTCATCCAAAGGACAAAACCTCCAACATTAAAACCACATTCCCCAACGCTGCATTGCATTGTCAGCCTAGACTGTACAAGTTCAAAATCCCAACTCGGGGGTCTTTTTTTGTAAGGTGGGCGTCGACATGTGCAGAAACCCATCTCCAGGCTAAAGAGCATCCAAACCAAACAGAATTCTATGCATCTCATCTATACATCCCAAGATATTTATTGGAATAGGATGCAAACTCTCCCCGGAGGGATCTGTCCAGAGAGTAGTAGGTGCAGGTTGGCAAGAGCCATGGATTGGGGACCCCAGAGTGTGCTATTGGATATTGCTGGAGTCTGAATCGCTTGAACTTGGTGCTTGAACCCACAACCTTCTGACTCAGATGCCAGAGTGCAACCAACTGAATTGATGCTGACACACTCAGTCTGTTGGTAGCGTTGTCAGCCTTGAATCAAAGGGTTGTATGTGGGTTAGTATCCCACAGCAAAGCTGATATTCTGGGCTGACAGCACAGTAATGATTTCCTGCTGTTATTTCTGTAAAGTTCTCGCATTTTTCTGGCCAACTCTCCTCGAACAACAAAATCAGATTGCACTTAAATCCCAGCTAGCTGGACTACCAGCCAGTGGTTAGCACCCCTGCCTCGCAAGCCAGAGGACCCAGGTTCGATTCCTGAGCAGGGCAAAACTGGAGTCTGGTAAGATGGGGTTTACTGTAATTCAAAGCAAATGACCTGCCTTGTTTGCTTCCTTATGTTTCAAAATTATTTAATACCAAACGTTGGATTGTACAGAATGATAACAGACCCTCTCCTCATTTGTAAATGGATGTAAAAGAGGTTGCAAGATTCCCACAGGGGATGTAGCCTCTGGACAAAGAACGGTCGACCTACCAGCAAACTACACGCCTCTCCCAGAGAGACAGCAATGCAATGTTTGTGCAGAAGGAATGGACCCACTGCAGGAACAGTAGGTTACGAGGATTTAAGCAGCAGAGCAGCAGGCACAACAGACTGGTTCTGTGATCAGACAGCGCCTGTCTTTCTTATGGGCGCTTTGAAGGTTGTCCACTTGTTGTTATTGTTTAACCTTGTTGTTCTCCAAGGACCAACAATTTGAGCTGTGAGCTGATCATGCAACCAGTGCTCTGCCCACTTCACCTTCAATAAAATAGGAATTCAGGATAAGGGGCGGGCTCGTGTCACTGGTGATCTATTCAATGCCCAGACTTTGACTTTATACTTAATTATCAAACTCATTAAGTGGATCTCCTTCCTTGCAAGGAAGGATTATTATTATTAAATCCCCACCCCGCCCACCCCCGCCACTCAGGAATAAAGAGGGCAATTGAAATGTACCCATTAACAGCCCAGCTCGCTCAGCTCAGCACAGCATGGATGTGATCTGTGTGGCACTGTGCCATGGCCACATGGTGTGTTAAATCTCTTTCCTTTCAAGGCACAAATCTCTCCTGGGTGATGACCTTTCCAGTGATTATTTTTCAGTCTTTATTGTTGCTCAGTGTTGAGTCTCAGATCCCGAAGGTGGGGGTTGGGGTGGGGGGTGGAAATTGGATGAAAAGCCAATCCTGCAGAAAGGCAAGTGTACAAATTTGCTGTGGGTTGAAATAAAATTTCCTTTGTAATGGAGAACATTGATTTGAACGAAAGATGTCAGGGTGAACCAGTCAGCAATTAAACATAAAGAAGCGGAAATTAAAACTAAATAAGATCTTCCCTGAAAATATCATCAAAGATTTCCTGTAATTCTACGCTTGTGAAGTCAGTCTGTCTGGAGAAAATGCTTCTTCTCACACGCACAAGACTGAAGGTTATAGGAAAGGGTACAGATTGAGATGAACAAATTTTAATGAGAAAGGACAGATCAGATAGAGTTGTTTGGTGTTCTTCCTTTGAGGAGCTCTAGAATCAAAGATTTTGCTCCCAGAAAAGGACAATTGGTTTTACTGATATGCGTAATGGAATTTAGATTCATATTGACACCTTTCTCATTGGGAGGATGTCTCCAACAGCTGCCGGGGGTGGGGGTGGCAGAGGGCAACAACAACAACATGACATTTATAGAGCACCTTTCACATCGGGAGGACGCCCCAAAGCGCTGAACAGTCAGGTGTCGGGGCCTGTGCATGGGGGAGGGGTGGGGTAGGGGTGAGAGAAGGCACAGAGGTGGGAGAGAGACCAAAGGCAGGGTCGAAAAAAAGGGTCTTGAGACCGGCCTTGAAGGAGGCAGAGGGCAGAGGGAGAAAGAGTTGACCAAAACCAAAAGAAGCAAGGCTTAAGGCTTAAAAGAAGGAAACCTGAATAGGGCTCTGCATAGAGTTCCAAAAAGCAAGGGCAGAATGACCGAAAGCTCACCCACCAATGGTGAGACAGATCAGGCTGGGGACATAAAGTATTTTCTGCATCAGTCAGAACGGCAGTAATCCTGGAGTCAAAGCTAGAGGTGGAGAGTTAGAGTTGGGTGTCATCCATATACATATAAAAATAGACCCCCATGTCTGTCACTATTTCAGTGAGCGAGCAGTAAACGTATGGGACAGGCTACCTAGGGAGACCGTGTTGTTTGTTTCAAGAACAAATTAGATAGATTTCTGCTCGAAAATAATATCTGGGGATACAGTTTAGGACACGACATGTCAAGCGATGCCAGGATGGTGGAAGGCAAACTCGATAATCCTTGGCCTTCTTTGGCCGAGCAAATTCTTATGATGTCCCCAAGGGGAGATAGTGAATACGAGAGGAAGAAGCCTTGACCAGGGCTGACTCTCGGTGAAGTGTCCCGGGCGCAAACTGGATTGGAGAGGCACAAGCTCGGAGTACGGGTACAGGAAAGAGCAAAGCTGGGAAGTGATGACCCATGTCAGCACGTTGGGAGGAAGGGCAGGATGGAGACAGATAGTCTTGCTGGATTGATGTTGATGCACTGATTACTTTTTTTAAAAAACAAAACCAAACGTTGCTCTCTTTGCAGTGAGGAACCAGTCATATTCCCATTCCCGGCATCCCGTTTTGGTATTAAGCTTTTGCAGGACAGGTGGTGTCTGTTTAGATGCAATTCCCTCCATTTTACCGTAACAATGTCTCATTTCCAATTGCAATGAGCCCACCCACCCATGACATTTTTCCCGATACTTTACCAGTCACCCTTTTGCCAGTTAGAAGCAATTCATGTAGCGCTAGCCCCAATAGCAAGGTTAATTATTATTATTATTAAAATCCACACAAAGACATACACAATCACTTTACTTTGTACAGAGAAACACTGTGAGATACTTTGAGACGTCCTATTCCCTGGGCGGTGAAAGGCGTTGGGTCAGATGTTAGGAATAATATCAATTGCATCAAAACGTTTCAAAGCACTTCGCCCCCGACTGTGTGTGGGACACTGATGCGTTTCTCCCACAAAACACACAGTCACTACACTTTACAATATAGCCTGTGAAGCTCTTTGAGGCGTCTTGAAGTTGTGATAATGCGCTGTATCAAATGCAAGCATTATTATCAATAATAAAACAAGCTTTCCCACCTCGCCTGACCCCATTCAATCCATCACCCCACTCAACACTGCACATTTGGCAAACATGTTACTGTGACTTACATTTTGAAACATTTCTTGTAGTTTGTTTGATCTGTGCTGCATAAGTACTTTCCGACCTTTTTCCTGATGAATTATTCAACGAAGCTGCTGTGCTGAAGCTTGATGGTTATATCATGTTAAACAGAGATTGTAGCTGGTCCAAAGGTTCCTCTGGCTCCTTGCAGACTTGCTTGCGGTTGCTGCAGTTGATAATCCCTCCAAAAAACCAAAACCAATAATAAATTGGTCATTTTCGATCCACGACTGTTTGTGGGACATTGCTGTGCGCAATCGGCTGCCGCGTTCGCCCACAAATATACAGTCAATTCACTTTACAGTGTGTTCTGTGAAGCGCTTTGGGACGTCCTCCCGACGTGAAAAGCGCTATATCAAATGCAAGGATTATTATTATTATTATTATTATTATTATTATTATTATGTTACTGCAGTTCCCAGCACAGTCAGAATACAAAGAGATTTGGATGATTCTCTTTCTCTCTACATCAAGATCAGATTCAAAGTTTCTCTTTATTTATTATAACAAAAACAAAAGATATACAGTCAATTCACTTCACAGTGTATCTTGTGAAGCGCTTTGAGTTGTCTCAAATGCAAGGATTATTATTAAAAGGGAATGAAAGACATACACTATTTAGTTAATAGTTTTGATTTCTATAGAAAAGGTATAAACTTGTGCACTTTTAGAAGACTGTACACAGCCTCCGACCTACTATCCCCCTACCTACCTGCCCGTACCCTCCGTTCCTCTGGCTCCGGTCTGCTCCACGTCCCCCGCCCCAACCGCCCTACCATCGGTGGCCGGGCCTTCAGCCTCTCAGCCCCGAGACTCTGGAACTCTATCCCCAGTGCCTTCGCCGCTTCCTCCCTTTCCTCCTTCAAGGCCGGTCTCAAGACCTTTCTCTTTGACCGTCCGTGCCTTCAGCTCCCCTCTCGACTCTCTACCCCCCACTCGCTCCCTCCCTTCCCTCCCCTCACCCTGACCATTTCCCCCCTCCTCGCTCCCTCCCTTCCCTCCCCTCACCCTGACCATTTCCCCCCTGCTCGGGTCCCGACCCAACTTGGGACGTCCTCCCGACGTGAAAGGCGCTCTATAAATGAAATCTTGTTGTTGTTGTTCATGTCGGAAAGATGTCCCAGGGCGCTGGACAGTCAACCTAAGAGGAGTTGAGTGAGAATGGGCAGCTTTATTGCTAATTCACGTGCTGTGCATTCCTAGCACTTTCTGCTTGTACGGTCTTTCTGCTAGCAATGCTCCTGTTGACCACTATTGACTCTTGGTTGTCCCCTTTAGACTATGAGCTGATGGTGAACCCAAAAGTCTTCCCTCAGGTGAAGCTGGGTGACATTGTGGAGATAGCGTCACTCATTGATGAGTACAGGTAACACATTTTGAGATCAACGAAAAACCTTCAAATTTGAATAATAATAACAATAATAATCCTTGCATTATCACATCTTCCAGACGTCTCGAAGCACTTCACAGAATATATTGTGAAGTGAATTGACTGTATATATTTTATGGGTGAAAAGTGCTAATTCAGCATCAATTCCAGGTCATGTGAAACTTACAAAGACTGGAAGTAGGAACATACAGCATTAGGACAGTGCAGCCGACAGGATCCATTTTCACATACCCTCTCTTCTTATCTCACATCTCTTCTCTCCTCCTCCCCCTTAAAAAAGATAAATTCTCTCTTGAAACTGGCCACACAATAATAATAATATAATCCTTGCACTTGGTACAGCGCCTTATCATGTCTTTGAGACGTCTCAAAACGCCTCTAGTCAGAGCTACTCCCTAGCTGGTTAACAATTTCCCAAATAATAATTGGTGACTCACTTCATTGTTCTTTATGAGACATTATGAGATGTCTAGAAGATGTGAAAAGCTCTATATCAAAACGCAAGGATTATTATTAGTGGTAGTATTATTGCTGTGCAAATTGGCTGCTGCGTTCACTTACAAATACACTGTCATTACATTTAACAGGAAGATCCTTGTGAAGAATTTGGAGCCTTTTGATCACATGAGGTTTTATATCAAATCCAAGGATTATTACTAAATGGAAATTATTTAATATTAATAAAGGATTATTATTACTGTCACGATTTCAAAGAGCATCTTGCTCTAATACCATCCCTCACAGAATGGAAAGTGAATGATTTTTGGCTGTAAACGTTAATTGGTAAATTGGCTTTTAATACAGTGGATTTAGAAGTCAGTGAGAGATGCAGAATATTTCAGAAGGTTCCTCATACTGTGCTCAAGGGAACAACTGCCTGGATTTTACAAGACAGATACTTATTCAGTTGATCCGATTTTGCAATGGTATTTGCTTTAATAATAATAATAATAATCCTTGCATTTTATATAGCTCTTTTCACATCTTCTCGACATCTCAAAGCGCTTCACAGAATAGACTGTAAAGTGAATTGACTGTATATTTGTGGGCGAACGCGGCAGCCAATTGCACATAGCAGCGTCCCACAAACAGCCTCGGATTGAAGTGACCAAATTATTTTTTTTGAGGGATTATTATCAGGCGTGGAGTAAGGAAACTTGCCCAAGATTTGTTCTGTGCAGATCCAAATCAACGTGGGGCTGTGGTGAGGTTAATTAACAATCCTGTACCAAGCTTCTTATGGCATCAGGTGTCGGGAAGAGTGTTTCAGTGTGTGTATATATAAAACAATTATGCCTTATATTCCTTGCTTGCGTGTGTCAGCCTGGCTCAGTTGAAATCCTCTCGCCTTGGAATCAGAGGGTTCTGGGTTCAAGTCCCAGGTCGGGACTTGGAACTCACTATTTGTTAGGTGAGGTTATTAAAGGATACAGGGCAAGAGCGGGTAAGTGGAGTTGAGATACACATCAACCATGATCTTATAGAATGGCGGAACAGGCTCGAGGGGCTGAATGGCCTCCTTTTGTGCTGCAATATTCTATGATTCTGTAACCCACAGTCAGTACTCTTTACAGTAAGTCCTGTGTAGCTGTTTGGGATGTCCTCCTTTCGTGAAAGACGCTATTTCAAGTGCAAGAATTATTATTGTAATCTTGGCTATGTATGTACAGTACTCTTATAAACTGATAACATTTTGTTTTGTGTTTTGCAGTCCACTCCTTATGCAGGTCAAGTCTTTAAAAGAAGATCTACAGAAAGGTAGCCTATCAAGTTTTCTTTACTTTATTCCCCTTTACTAACTACTCGCCCCCACCCCCATCTTACACAAAATGCCTCCAGAGCCGCTTTTAACAACTGCTTTCACACCCGACTTGACTTCTCGAGCATGCTCCTTGCCAGTCTCCCTCATTCCATCATCCCCTAAGCTTCGTCTCATTCAAAACACCACAGCCTGCACCAAGCGCTGTGTGTACATCACCCCGATCATCACCAGCCTCCACTGGCTATCTGACTCCCCATGGATTGATTTTAAGATCTTCATCTATAAATCGCTTCTTGCCCTAACTCTGTGACTTCTACCCCACTGCCTTGTCCCCTCTGCTTGGCAAACCTGGACCTGCTTACCCTGTTACCTCTGCCCCACCATCAGTGCCTGAGCCTTCAGTAACAATACAGGCTGGCATCATCAACCTCCCCGGCTGCACACTCAACCTCACTGAGCCAGTCAGGAACCTGGGTATTTTGTTTGACCCTGAACTGTCCTTTCTCCCCCACATCCGCTCCATGACTACCACCACCTCCGCAACTTTGCCAGACTCCGCCACTGCCTCACCCCTCAGGTTGCCGAAACCCGCACCCACGCATTTATTACCTCAAGGCTTGATTACGGGAACTCCCTCCTCATCGGCCTTCCCAACTCTTCCCTTCACAAGCTGTAGATCATCCAAAACTCTGCAGCTCGTATACTCTCACGCACCAGGCTCTGTGACCCCATCACTCCCACCCTCACCCCCACCAGGCTCCCCACCCCCCAGAGGATCGAGTTCAAGATCCTCACCTTAAAGGCCATCCATGGCCTTGACCCCTCCTACCTCTCTGACCTGCTGACTCCCTAACAACCTGCCCGCTCCCTCCGTTCAGCGGGCTCTGGCCTGCTCCATGTCTCCTGCCCGACCCGCCCTACCTTTGGTGGTCAGGCTTTCAGCCTCTCTGTTCCCACACTCTGGAACTCCATACCACGGTCCCTTCTCCTCGCTTCCTCCCTTGCTTCCTTGAAGGCCAGTCTCAAGTCCCTTCTCTTTGACTGTGCCTTTGGTCTCCCTCCAACCTCTCTGCCTTCCCCCACCCCTACCCCACCCCTCCCCCATGCTCGGGCCCCGACACCTGACTGTTCAGCGCTTTGGGACGTCCTCCCGACGTGAAAGGCGCTCTATAAATGTCATGTTGTTGTTGTTGTACTCCTGCTTTTTGGAACTCCCCCTCTCTACCCCTCCACCTCACCTCCTCCATCTGTCTTTAAAACCTATCACAAATATCTATCTCTCAAACCCATTACAAATATTACTATACTACATTATTATCGCTATTCAACCAAGTCCGTGGTCACCTCTCCCTCCTCTCTTGCTTGCCGTCTGGCCCTGTAGTTGTGAAGCAATCTGAGGTGCTATCCTACATGAATATTAATACCAGTTTGTTGTTATTTTCTTCGCTTGTTGAGAGAGTAAAATGATTCTCAATAGTGTTTGTTTAAAACTGTGAGAAATTTAGCTGCTTTGGATTCTCGATTTCCAGTGAGTCTAAATTTCGTAAAGGAACTCCATATAATAGGCCATTCACACCAACAGTTTTCATTGCGTTGATGACACTTTTGAGCCAAATCTGCATGTAAGGACCACAGTCTGAATGAACAGAAGTCTGGGACCTTCTCTCTAACTATCCCAACTTAACACAGGATATAATATAACTTCAGCCATTCAAAGTGAAGTTTAAATTCTAACTATTTGTAGACTGGCTTGTATATGTGATTTTCTGTATAAAGTGCCCTAATTGCCACCTGTTGGAGGTAGATTGCAGTCGTCCACTTGTTTGGCTACTCTTACTAGACACAAAAAATAGTAAAACCCAGTGTGATAGCAGCGTTTTGTCTCAGACTAAACGGCTGTACCAACTCTACCTGATGGAAGAGGGGTTTGTCACGCAATACTTCTTGTGTAGTCTTACAGGAAGCCACACAACCGGTGAAAAACAAGTGGAGCTCGACCAAGATGTGATAACAGTAATAATCTTAATGCATCTTTTTCCTTTAATTCCCTCAGAAACCATCAGTGTTGACCAGACGGTCGCGCAGGTGTTCAGGCTCCGAGCTTACCAGGATGTCTATGTGAACGTAGTTGATCCCAAGGTAGGTTTTTAATGATTGTTTTCTCCTCTCGTCTCCTTTTTCTTTCTGTTCGGGATCTAGCTGCAGAGACGACACGTGCCGTATCTTGGTATGTTGCCCAAATGGCCGGTCACTATTGATTGTGAGCCTTTTTTATGTAGTGTCGGCAAGATGTTTAATCACAGACAAACCCAATCCTGCCTTCGTGTCTACGCCTCCAGCGAGGGTTGCTAGATAGCATTTGTACAACAACAACAAAAAACTGGCATTTATATAACGGCCTGACAGTGGCGGAATCTGACTCTGAGCCAGGGGGGAGGGAGGTGACCGTGAACACGATCAAAACGGAAGGTCTTCAGGCGGGATTTGAAAGTGGGGAGGGAGGGGGCAAGGGGGAGGGACTGAGGGAGAGAGTTCCAGAGTTTTGGGGCGTAGTGGCTGAAGATGATGGAGGGGACGAGAGACGAACAGGAGGCCGAAGCCAGCGGATGGTAGAGTGGGGGGGTAAGCAGGTTGGATAGGTAGGGAAGTGTGAGGGCATGAAGGGATTTGAAAAGAAGTGAGAGGATCTTGAAATAAAAAATAATGATTGTTGGGGTTTCCCTCCCTCATCCAGGCTGCTGAAGCCAATTTACTGGCAATTTAACTGAGGTCAGTTAAGGTGGCAACACATCAGCAGTGGAATACAGCTGAAGATCTTCCTTGTCTAAGGCTGGCCTGGGAGCTGGAGGAAGTGGGCCTTTTTTTATCAGAACAGCCAAGGTTGAGGGAAAACTTGTTATAGGTCTTTAAAATGACAAGTTGTTTGACAGAGAGAAATTATTTCCACTGCTCAGTGATTCCATTTCCACATCAATTTAAGATAATTAGTAAAGCAGTAAGGAGGTGGATTAACAGTTTATTTTACGCAGACAGATGTTAGAACATGTGTGGTACATTTATATAGCCCTTTAATGTAGGGAGGACGTCCCAAAGCACAATCACAGTGCTGGGTGAACATCTGAGCTGGAGGTGGGAACCAGGGTGGGAGGAGATGGATGACTGAAAGAGAAGGTCGAAGAGGTACGTTTTGAGACGTGTCTTCAAAGGAGGGAGAAAGGAGTCGGTGGGAAGATAAATATCTAAAGAGCAATAATTTACAGAGGTATGGGAAAAGGCAGCTAAGCGGAACTAAATTTCAAAGAGCCAGCACAAACTGAATGGCTGAATGGCAACTTCATCTGATCTGTAAATCTCTCTGGTTCTGTGGATCAGTCCTATACCACTTGGTGCATTGACCATCTGAGCTATTGGGGGAAGCTGCACTGGTGGTGGTGGGTGGGAATTCGCTTCCATTGCTGAAGTATCTAAACTATAAAAGCTTGGTACTTAGTGACTGAGATCCACAGGCTGTTGTCATAAAGTATTTTGCAATTTCTCCTAACTGATAAGGGCAGCCCGCAAGTGAATCCCTACCTAAAACCAGCTTTGAGGAGTTGTAAGTATCAATTACTGTGCCTTGAAATGTTGAAACCATTGCCAGCTGTCTGTCTGTCTAACAGGAAGTTTCCCTCGATCTGGTGGAGCTAACTTTTAAAGACCAGTACATTGGGCGCAGTGACATGTGGAGGCTAAAGAAGAACCTGGTACAGTTGAATTTCTTGTATAATAATCCTTATTTGGTATATATCTCCTTTCATGTTAAGAGGACATCCCAAAGCACTTCACAGGATTTGCTATAAAGTGAAGTAACTGTGTATGTTGTCTTCTCAATCTCTAAACACTCATGGATTGTTAATGTAGGACAGGCAGGGAGGGAGTTTCCATAGTCGAGCCTTGAGGTGATGATTGTGTGTATGAGGGGTTCAGGGCCCGAGGGGTGAGGCAGTGGCAGAGTTGGGCAATTTTGCAGAGATGGGGGAAGGCGGAGCAGGTCATGGTATGGATATGGGGTAGAAAGGACACTTGAGGTTTGAACAGGTTCCTGACTGGCTTGGTGTGGTGGAGTGTGCATCATGGGTGCTGATGCTGCCAATGCCTGAGGTGCTGAGGCACTGGTGCGAGCCAATCAGGAGGGCCTCAGTCTTGTTGACATTCAACTGTAGAAAGTTAGTTCTCATCCAAGACTTGATGTCCGACAGGCAGTAGAGACAAATTGGAGACCGTGTGAGAGATAAGACCTGAACCATTCAAGGACAGAACCTGATTGAGGTGAGAGGAGAGGCAGTGGAGGAAGGAGCATGGAGTGGTCCACGGTATTGAAGGCAGCAGAGAGGTCGAGGAGAGTGAGGAGGCAGAGGGAGCCCTGGTCACAAATGGCCAAAATAAGAAATTGTTCATTTATTTCATGATTTTTGTGGGACATTCCTGTATGTAAATTGTCTACCGTATTTACCTACAGTTTGCAGAAAAGCTCTAGAACACTTTAAGATATGGCCCTATATCAAATAAGCAGATTGAAATGGAAATAGAGGAAATGCACCTCTGATATTCTTGAATGTGGAACTGATCAGACCTGGCCACACTCAAACCAATGAAATAAACACGAACAAAACTACACATATTCTAATAAACTTGTATTTACATTGCAATCTATTTTCATTTCAGTGTTGGGGTTTGTTGGAGTCTAGGTGTTTACACTACAGAAGTGGTCAGGTGGAAGCTTACTTTCTAAATCCCACTTAATGTCTTTATATATTTGTGAATTTCTATGTTGTAGCATTCTGCCTATCTTTTACAGGTTAATACATGCACTTATATTACACAGAAGGTAGAGTTTGCTGGAATAAGGTAAGATGTTTAATGCCTTATATGTTAAATTGAAGGACTAATATTTAATAAAACAGTATCTTGGCTAAGATGGCAGTAGGAGAAATATAGTGGCCTCAGCACTCTTAGCTAAAGGAATCCCATTCCTCATCATTATCTAGTGACCAAATTGGAAGTGTGCGAGCATGGACAGTGTGAGCCTACTGAAGGTCACTTGGTTGAGATGCCCTTTGCCCTCTCCCGCCTGCTGACACTTGCTGTCTCGGTTTGTGCTGAACAATGTCTGTGAGGTACAGGAGTCCTGCACTGAGGTTTTCAGATCTTCTCTGTAGAGTAACTGTTGTATTGAGACACCTAAATATGCTCTTCAGTCATGAATATTGTCGATGTTTTCTTAAAAATTCAGTCAAACTTATTGGCCATATTTTAGTTTATAGTCTAATGCCAAGACCTATCCACTAACAATCTCGGGGATACAGTATATAGTTTGGACACAAAATGTCAAGCGAATGATAGGATGGTGGAAGGCGAACTAGATGGACCTTAGTTTTCTTTTGCCAGCAAATTCTTATGTTCTTATGCTATTGAGGCAGTAGAGAGCTTTACTTCAGGATTGCATGCTGCTGAAATGAACAGTGAAAATGTTCCTTTCCCCAGTACTGTCATTTTTGGTGAGCACAAACATTCACAATTTTCTGTTGAAACGCTCTGGGAATACATTGTCAAGGTTCACTTGAAAAGGCAATTTTTCCAGCTTTAGGTGTCATGAGTTTCAGACATTTTATAAGTGTTGCCATATCTGTGGTACAATGTCATATTGTTGAATAAAGAATTGAAGAAGAATAATGGTTATTGATTCCTTTAGAGCACAAGCGAGTGAACTTTGGGTCAAAGGTGAAAAAGTTACCTGTGGTTACATAAGTGAGGATACCAGGGTAAGTATTCAGCCTGCGGCCTCTTTTATAGGTGATGTAAAACACTCGTCAGGCTATATAGTTTAGGAGAGAGGTTGGTGCTGAATTAAAGAGCATAAAAGAGAGGGATTAATTCAAGGGACAGAAAATAAGAGAAATGTAAGATCAGGATGTACAGTAATTTGAGACTAGAGTTTGGGAGGGATGTCATTCACAAAACAGATTCTAATCAAAAAAATCTCTATTATACCAAAAATGTGATTTGTTTCCCCCCCCAACCCCCGCCACTATTGGCGGGCCGATCTTCAGCCTCTTTGCCTCCCCCTCTGGACCTCCATCCCATAGTCCCTCCGACTCGCTCCCTCCCTTACCTCCTTCAAAAGCGTCTTGAAATCCTCCTCTTCGATTGTGCCTTTGGTTACCCTCCTTCCCCTTCCCTCCCTGCCCTCCACCCATCTTGATCCCAACCACCAGTTCGGGTGCGGATCCCTGACTGTCTAGCGCCTTGGGACGTCCTCCTGACGTGAAAGGCGTTGTCTAGATGTAATTTGTTGTTGTTGTTGCTTGCAACCACTGCAGCTTGTGCTGTTTTCCTTTTAAAAGGTGGTCTTCCGATCGACCTCAGCCATGGTCTATATTTTCATCCAAATGAGCTGTGAGATGTGGGATTTTGACATCTATGGTAAGTATCATTTTGGGGATTTGTTTTAAGAGTACAGTTTACACATGTCTCCTGGTAAGAGGATATGTTTAGGCCCTTAACATCCGAACTACTGTTCTATGTTTGCGCTCTGCCCTCACTGACTGATTGTGGTCTAGGACAACCACAAGCCTTTGTGTTACGGGAAGTGCACACAAACCAGTCTTTTGTAAAGCTTATACAGTGGCACACCTCACTCTGGTTAATCGGCCATGTTTACAAAAAAATGAAGCTTCATTCACAGTCAAAAGGCACAAAAATGCACTATTTCTTTGCAGTTTTCTTGATAAAAGTTTCCTTTCTTCAACATACCTGCTTTTTTGGTATTCTTCCTTATGGCATTTGGCTGCTGCGTTTTGGGCACAAAATACACGTTGTTTATACAAAATTGACAATATACAAAATTGACGCTTCTGTGAAGCGCTTTGAGATGTCTCGAAGACGTGATAAGACGCTATATCAAATGCAAGGATTATTATTACTTACTGAATAACAAGGTTTTCTTTGGCTCAACTAAATTGGATGATAAATCGCAGCATTCCATGCCAGAATTTGTTTTACCAGTGATCATATGTTGATACGAGTAACACAAAGTCCATCGTAATTCCAAGCTGAGTGACTGAGAGAAACTTCTCCAGAATAGAAAATGGCTCTTTATTAGGTTGGAGAAAAATGGGTGAAAGGTGGTGTGCAATCCAATGGCTTTAAATGAATATTCACTTCTTTATTCGTTAAAAGCTTAACAGTAGAACCAGAGGACACAGCCTGCGATTTGAAGTGGGGTAAATTTAGAACAAATTTGCGGAAACACTAGAGTGATCTAGTAGTAAACTTCTGGAATAGGGAGACTGTGGAAACAGTAAATGTTGTTTGTTTCAAACACAAATTAGATAGATTTCTGCTAGAAAGTAATAACCGGGGGTACAGAATATAGTCTGGGACACGATATGTCAAGCGACTGGCAGGATGGTGGAAGGCAAACTAGATGGACCTTGGTCTTCTTTCACCAGCAAATTCTTATGTTCTTGTGCTGCCAAAAGCTAAAGTAAAGTCAATAATAGACTTGACTTTGGGTGCTGCCGACCTCTCCCATCTTCCTCACCTGCTTTGCAGAGTTCCTGAAATGAAAACATGAATCGAATTAGAAATACATGGAATCTGTATTCCTGGTGGTTTGGACGTTGCGCAAATTAACAGTAATTTGGCTGGGCGTGTGCTATTCAGAATTGAAACTAGTGTTAGTTCTGTTCGCTAAACATTCCTACCTGTTCCCTCTCTTTTAGGTGATCTGTACTTCGAGAAGGCAGTAAATGGGTTTCTTTCAGATCTCTTTGCAAAATGGAAGGTAAGATTGGGGATGGGAGAGAAAGGAGAATTAAATCTGGCTTCTCATCTCGGCTGCACAGGATCAATTGACCCACAGGAGCAGTTCTGACTTTACTGTCATAGACTTATATCCCACAACATGCAGTGGGTTTCATTAATTCTCAATGCTCCTAATCCCGATCTCACGATTATTGTCCGATATTAATCTTAACAATATGATTAAAATTCACTCTTTCCTCCACCACCACCACCACACTCTACCTTTCTTTCAAATTCCACATCTGAGCTCTGACCTGCTCGGCCTTCCCTCATCTCCGAAATATTGCCTTCCTCTGTCATTCCTGTGGTGTCTTGTAGCTCAGTGGTTGGAGCACTCGCCTTGCAAGTGAGAGGACCTGGGTTCGATTCCCGGCAGGGCGAAACATGAGCAAATGTACTTACTGCTAGGTAACCAGGCATGTGGAGTAAGTAGGAACCCGTTTTGTTAGTCAATTGGCGGATTGCTTTTCCAAGGGTAATAATTCTTTGAAAAAAATATTAATAAATTTGTTACTTCAATCCATGACTGTTTTTGGGGCACTGCTGTGGGTAATTGGCTGCCCACAAAATATACAGTCAATTCATTTGTGAGACGTCTTGAAGACGTGATAAGGCGCTACATCAAATGCAGGGATTATTATTATTATATTCCCTCTCCCCTTGGGTTCTGAGATGCTCATCTACCCTTTGATCTTGTCCAGGCATGGTGACTATGCTAACCCTCTGCTCCCTGGACTCCCCAGTTCTTATCTATAGAAGCTGCAGACCATCCAGAACTCTATCCCTGTGTTCTCGGTTGTATCTGGCTGCACAAGTCTTATCACCCCATTCTCACTGGGCTTCACTGGCTCCACATCCCCAGTAGATCAAGTTCAAGATCTTCGTTCTCATCTTGAAATCCCTCCACAGTATCACCCAGCCCTACCCCTGCCACCACCTTCACCCACACCCACACTGACTTGCTTCATGTTTCCCGCCATATTCACCCCATGATTAGCAAGTGGGCAATCAGCCAATCTGCAACTGCTCTCCGGAATTCCATCTCGGAGTCTTTCCAACTGGTCTCAAAATGTATCTCTTTGACCTCACTTCCTCCCCCCACCACCCATTGGCTCCCACCCCCACCCATTGGCTCCCACCCCCAGCTTGGATTCCCACCGAGCATTGTAAGGCACTGTGAAAGGTCTTATATAAATGTCAATTGTGTTGTATTAATTTTACAGACAAAAGGTTGACTTAAGATATTCAAAAGTTGGAGTGTTTGACATATTTTGATACACTCACTTATTGTGTAGGTTGCAAGTTGTGTCAAAGAGGACAATGAGACTGATTCTTTTCCTTTCCGCCCACCCTCTTTTAGGATAAAAACTGCAGCCACGAAGTGACGGTGGTTCTCTTTTCCAGAACATTTTACGACTCCAAGTCACTGGGTAGGTTCAGGTAACTGTGGAAGATGGGATTTAATACAAAGGTAGTTTGGAATATGTGTATCCGACCTCCAGGGAGGTGGAAGTGAAACTAGATGGACCTTGGTCTTTTTGTCATCCAGCATTTCTTATGTTCTTATGTACCTGTAAATAGTGGATACCAATTGTCTGAGTGAGAATAATAATCCTTACGTTTGATACAGCACCTTTCACGTCAGGAGCACGTCTCAAAACGCTTCACTGGATATATTGTAAAGTGCAGTGACTGTATTTCCTGAAGAATGCAGCAGTCCAATTTGCGCATGGCAATGCACCACAAGCAATGTACCATGAAAGAAGCAACCAATTTTATTTGGTGAATTGTCAGCCAGAACACCAGGAGGAATTCTTCCATTTTTAAATTGTGCCATGAAACTCTTACAAAGTCATAGAAACAGAAGTAGGTAATTCAGCCCCTCGAGCCTGTTCCACCATTCCAGAAGATCAGGGCTGATCTGTACCTCAACTCCAGTTGCCCGCCCTTGCTCCGTATCTCTTAATACCCTGACTAACAAATCTCTATCTATCCCTGTCTTGAAAGTGTGAGTGGATCAGCATCTACAGCCTTTTGGGGTAGAGAGTTCTAGATTTGAAGAGACAGATGTACCTCATTTTAACATCTCATCCAAACAATGATATCTCCAACCCTAGCCCACCCCCACCCCCCCAGCACTGTGATAGAGTGCGAGTAGAGCATATACACTGCTTGAACCTGTAACTTTCTGACTCAGGCAACTAAGCCAGCTTGATGCACCCCACCCATGAGAATCCACAGACACCATCCTCCTGCCTGAAAGGGCTGTTGGTTTGCAACACGAGTCGTATCTAAAGCTCTCAGTGCAGAGTTTGCTGGATTTTGGCAGTTTGGGCTTACATAAATTAATAAATCAATAATTTGGTCACTCAATCCACGACTGGGACACTCCTGTGCCAATTGGCTCCTGCGTTTTACCCACAAAATATACAGTCAATTCACCTACAGTGTATCCTGTGAAGCACTTTGAGACGTCTCGAGGATGTGATAGGGCGCTGTATCAAACGCAAGGATTATTATTATTACATACTTGACAATGAATGTCTTAAAACTAATATGTTGAGGTAACCAATGTGAGCTTTATTTTTGTTTTGTGTTGATTTATAGATGAGTTTCCTGAGAATTACAGATCCTCCCTAAGGTCAGACCTCGAGGGAAGATTCTATGAAGACTTTTATAAGTATGTTTTTTTTGTCTGGGTTCTGTATGTGTGTGTGACTCTCTTCACTTCCCTTGAATGGGAGAGTCTGATTTGCAGGCCAAAGCTGGTGTAACTGGATCTAACCATTGGGAAGCTGGGGTTGACTTATTTTTGTTTGGACTTATACATATCCACTCGTCCAATATTCCCGCTAAGATTGACATGTGTCCGTCAGTCTGTCAGATACTTCCAGGAGTATTGGTCACTCCGAAGACATTTTTTTCTTAGTGAAAATTAATTTTAAGAAATTTATAGAATTGTTCTAACATTTTAGAGATCGGTCGCTGTCTCTTGGTGTGCAGAGTTAGTTTCACTTAAATAATAATAATTTAGTCGCTCAATCCACGACTGTTTGTGGAACACTGCTGTGTGCAATTGTCTGCCACGTTTCGTCCACAAAATATAGTAAATTCACTCTACAGTGTATTCTGTGAGGCACTTTGCGACGTCTTGAAGACATGATATAGCGCTATTATATCAAATGCGAGGCTTAAAAAATAGAGGGATTAGGGGATATGGGGATAGGGCAGGTAATTAGAGTTAGGTCAGAAGATCAGCCATGATCTTATCAAATGGCAGGGCAGCTCGAGGGGCCGAATGGCCTACTCCTCCTAATTCTTATGTTCTTATTATTTCTGAAATAATTAAATACATGGTATTTGTGGGGAAGCAATGGAAAAATAAATCAATTGCCTCAGGCTGTATCACTCTTAAATGCCTTGTTCCAATAATCTATTTCATAAAATTTTTAATTGTAATCTTTGACTTCCGTATTTTACAATTGATTTCTGTGTTCGCCCACAAAACACGTCCCTGCACTTTACAGTACATCCTGTGAATCCCTAATTTGCTATCCGACGTCCTCCTGACGTGAAAGACACAATGTCAAATGTAAGGATTAGTTATTTTTATTAAAATGTTTTTTTTGGTCAGCCGGGTGCCTGACACATGCGGAAACCCATCACTGTGCTTAAGAGTATCCAGTAAGAATTCCACGCATCCCACCTACACATGGAAATCCCAGAGATAGATTGTTGGAATGGAATGCGCTCTCTCTCCCTGGAGGGACGCAGCCTGCTTCCTAATTCTGGAAAGTATTAGGCGCAAGTTGGTAAGAGCCAAGGCTTGGGGACATAAAATATGTTTAAGTGTGCTCACAAAGTGGTTTAAAAACACCACGTTATCACTGATCATTTTAGGTACTGCTGTGTCATTGTACTTTGCACTTTCAATAGTTGGTCTCTGGAAACTTTTGCTCGTATCAGGCTTTAAGTAAAAAACAAAGGGCCAGTTATCATCTCAACCAAAGGGCCAGTGTTTTTTTTCTTGAGGACACTATTTGTAAAGACAGAGTAGTCTCTCAGTGTCCTGGCCAACAGATAAATTGGTGTGAGATCAAATTGACTGCTCCATTGACCCACCTAGTCGCTTTACTTCACAGAATCTTTGGGAAGCACCTGTGAAATGTTCTTGATGTTGTAGGCAGGGATTATTACTATTGTTTGTTGTGTTTGTAGAGTTGTCGCCCAAAATGAAAGACGAGAAGAATGGACGTCTCTACTAATAACCATTAAAAAGCTCTTCATTCAGTATCCAGTGTTGGTGCGATTGCAGGAAGCAGGTGTGTATTTTCCATCCTTGAAAAGTGACCACCAGTAACACTGTGCTACCTGACATATTATCTTCCAGTACAAGGCTCCACGAACCTATCACCCCATCCTTACCTGGCTCCCTATCCTGCAGCAGATACAGTTCAAAATCCTCACCCTAACCTTTAAAGCCCACCATGATCTTGCCCTACTCTACTTCAAAAAAACCCTAAATACCTGGTCACTTCCTCTGCTCAGTGGACACCAGCCAGTTTCCCACCCTCCACCCAACCTCCACCCAACCATCAGTGGTCAAGCTTTTAGCCTTCTGCCCCCTCCCTCTCGACTTGAGTCCCTTCAACATTTCACTTCCCTCGCCTCCTTCAAGGTCTACCTCAAGACCTTCCTCTTTGACCGGGCTTTTAGGTATCTTTCTCTCCTCCCACCCCCGGCTCGGGTGCACACCATGTACTGTCCAGGGCCTTGCGATGTCTTTCCGACATGAAAGGCGCTATATAAATTTGTATTGTATATTTTATATATATATATATATATACAAGAGAGACAACATTCTTCAGCTCAACGTGCGAAAAACCGAGGCCCTCCTGATTGGCTCACGTCAGCGCCTCCGCACCTCAGGCGCTGACACCATCAGCATCCAAGGCTGCACTCTCCACCTCTCAAAGCAGTCAGGAACCTCGGCGTTTTGTTCGACCCTGAGCTGTCCTTTCTCCCTCACATCCGCACCACAACTGGCACCGCCTTCCATCACCTTCGGAACATCGCCAGACTATGGCACTACCTCACCCCTCACGCTGCTGAAACCCTGGTCCACGCCTTTGTCACCTCAAGGCTGGACTATGGGAACTCTCTCCTCGCCGGCCTTCCCGCCACCTCCCTCCACACTGCAGGTCATTCAGAACTCTGCAGCTCGTGTACTGTCCCGCACCAGACACCGCGACCACATCACTCCCACCCTCGCTCGCCTCCACTGGCTCCCCATCCCCCAGAGGATTGATTTCAAGATCCTCATCCTCACCTACAAGGCCATTCACGGCCTTGCTCCCTCCTACCTCTCCAACCTACTATCCCCCTACCTACCTGCCCGTACCCTCCGTTCCTCTGGCTCTGGTCTGCTCCACGTCCCCCGCCCCAACCGCCCTACCATCGGTGGTCGGGCCTTCAGCCTCTCAGCCCCCAGGCTCTGGAACTCCATCCCCCAGTGCCTTCGCCGCCTCCTCCCTTTCCTGCTTCAAGGCCGATCTCAAAACCTTTCTCTTTGACCGTGCCTTCAGCTCCCCTCTCGACTCTCTTCCCCCTCCTCGCTCCCTCCCTTCCCTCCCCTCACCCTGACCATTTCCCCCCTCCTCGCTCCCTCCCTTCCCTCCCCTCACCCTGACCATTTCCCCCCTCCTCGCTCCCTCCCTTCCCTCACCCTGACCATTTCCCCCCTGCTCGGGTCATGACCCAACTGTGCAGCGCCTTGGGACGTCCTCCTGACGTGAAAGGCGCTTTATAAATGGAATCTTGTTGTTGTTGTTGTTGTTGTTATTGTATCTGTACACCTTTGAGATGTTAAGGGGGGTTTAGTATTATACTAAAACCAGTTTAGAGTATTTTCTTGCCTTGAATCCCATGGCTGTTTTATATTGTGAACATTTTTTTATTATTTCATGTGATTTGTTAGTGCTGGGGAATGAAGTGTTTCTAAATGTGGTGCTGGGGCTAGGTGCTGCATTGTTGGAGCTGCCGTTCTTGGGATGAGACATTAAATCGAGATGTTGTTTGCTTGTTCAGGTGGATGTTAAAGATGATATTTTAGCCACATCTAAATAGGCAGGGCAAAACCTTGGGCAAGTTTCCTTACTCCACACAGAGCCTAATAATAATCCCTCCAAACCAAAAACAATAAATTGGTCATTTTCAATCTACGACTGTTTGTGGGACATTGCTGTACGCAATTGGCTGCCGCGTTCGCCCACAAATATACAGTCAATTCACTTTACAGTGTGCTCTGTGATCTGCTTTGGGACGTCCTCCCGAAGTGAAAAGCGCGATATATAATGTAAGGATTATTATTATTATCTGTACCACTTTTTGCCACAAGCTTGAGAAGAAAGATTCCCATTGTTGTGCAGCTTCTTAAAGACTAGGGCTAAATTAAGACCCTTTGCTGTTAGCTTTTGATCTTATTTTTATCGCTGATGGCTCAGAAGAGTCTATAAAACTCCCAACTGTTCTGATAGGAAATACCCAGGAAGCCTGTGGTTTTACGGCTCATTCTAACGCTGGAGCTCAAAATGTCTATTCCACTATTGAGATTCGGATTAAATGGGCAATTTTTCTTATCACCCAGCCTGCATGTTGCTGTTCCATGTCTACAATTGTAGAATAAAAATGCCATTTGTTGCTGCTGAGTGTCTGGCCACGTACAGGCTGTAACCTATTGATTATGTTGTCAAAAAAAACAATTGCCTTTTCTTCATAGATGGATTTCCACATGGACAGAATTCTACAGCGGCCCAAGGAAACTATTTGGAGGCCATTAACCTGTCCTTCAATGGTGAGTGTCTGTGTTACCATCGAGCTGAGGAATGAAATAAGAAACTGATATGGCTCACTGCCTACTCTGGTAAAACAATCTCCCAACACGTTGTGGAATTGGGTAAACTTGCCAAGGTGGGTTTGAGATATCAAGGTGGGAGGGGACAAACAACAAGAACAAGTTACATTTGTACAGTGTCTTTCATGTCAGGAGGGCGTCCCAAGGCGCTGGACAGTCCAGTCAGGGATATGCACCCGACGGGGTGGTTGGGTTCAGGAGGGGTGGAGGGTGGGGAAGGTAGGGGTAGGAGGGTGAGGGCAAGGGAAGGGGTGAGGCAGAGGGACTGTGGTAGGGAGCTCCAGAGGGTGGGGGGAGAGAGGCTGAAGGCTTTCCCGCCAATGGTGAGGTGGGCAAGGTGGGGGATTTGAAGCAGGCTGGAGCCCGCTGAGCGGAGGACCGGACAGGCTGGTAGGACAAAGCAGCGGGTGAGGGTTTCAGCAGCATTTCGGGCAAGGCAGGCAGGAGGAGGGGAATGCAGCAGAGATGGAGAAGGCAGTCCTGGTCACAAACTGAATATGGGGTAGGAAGGAACCCCATGTCTGCAGATGGAGCGTGTGTAGAAGGTGCATGACAATGTGGGGGCTGAGGATAGAGCCCGGAGCTACACCACAGGTAACCATCCGTGCAAGAGTGCGAGGGGAAACCATTGGAGGGGAAAACATGGAGGTGGTGGATCAAGTAGAATTTGAACCAAAGGAGTGCAGTCCTACAGAGGTGAATGAGGGAGCAGAGGTGATAGAGGAGGATGGAGTAATGCACAGCAGTCAATAGGTTTATTCTTAAAGGGAAATTAATTTCAATGTTGAAAGTCCTCTCTTTGCTATGTTGCAAATTCTGTATATATAGTATGTAATATATTCTATTGAAATTCAGCAGGAGAGTGTGTGCATGGCATGTGTGTGTATATAGATATCAAATATATATGGCTTTTGTCTGTTCGTCTAGGCTCAGTATGAATGTGGTTCCCAGGCAGGAAGGACACTCTGCTAGCTCACTGTACCACCCAGTTTTCTCTCTCTCTCTTTCCACCACCCAGAAAAAAGCAAATCTCTGTTGATGTGTATGTACCTATGTTTCTTGCATATGATGTTATGGGTTCATGTTTCTGTGAGTTTCAAAAATATTTTATTTCCTTTTTGCCTTTAGTGTTTGACAAGCATTACATAAACAGAAACTTTGACCGTACGGGACAGATGTCTGTGGTCATCACTCCTGGTGTAGGCGTGTTTGAAGTTGACCGATTGCTGATGATTCTCACCAAACAGAGGATGATCGATAACGGTGAGCTTTGGTTTAGTTGCAGCTCAGCACTGAGAGCCCTGTCTTTAAGCAATGCCATTGTTATTAGATTGGATCTATAGGGAGAGGTGAGAAAGGTACGTTTATACAGATACGTGTTAGAAACTCTTTGAAATTTCTCAGTGATCCTAGAACAACAACGATCCTTGCATTTGATGCAAGGCCTTTTCACATTGGGAGGTGGTCTCAAAGTGCTTCACGGATTTACTGTAAAGTTTAGTGATTGTACCTTTTGGAGGCGAATCCTACTTTTGATTTAAAGCATAAATGATTTTATCAGTGCTTAATGTACAGAGAAGGTTGAACGATTGGTGTTAAAGTTCCAGGTAATTGCTGTAAATTTATTAGCAAATCTAAGAGGAGTTTCGAGTGTGGTTCACTGTGTGATGGTGCTGATTGTGTCGCATTTGGGAGACCTAATATGGGGAATAGGAGAAAGAATGGGAAAATGGGACTGAATAGATTCCTCTTTCAAAAAATGAGCACAGACACAATGGGCTGAATGACCACTGTCTGTGCTGTAATTTTTTATTCTTCTGTCTCCTCAGTTGTCTTGGCCCAAAGTTTGCAGTACATTTGCTTGCTTTCTGGAAATAGGTTATTGCTGTCCAGAAATGTCCCCTCTCCCTAACAGTGGGTATAGGTGGTGTAGGGATTGGGAGGAAACATAACAGGGACTTGCAGAAATTGATAGCCATATGATTTAAATAATAATAATAATTTGGTCCCTCAATCCACGAATGTTTGTGGGACACTGCTATGGGCAATTGGCTTCCGTGTTTCACCCACAACAGATACATGTGTTCTGTGAAGAGCTTTGAGACGTTTCGAAGATGTGATAAGGCACTATATCAAATACAAGTATTATTATGATTATTATTATTATCCAGAACCTTCCAGAAAGAGCCCAGACACTAGGATACATCTGCAGTTGAGTAAGGGGATGCAGAGTGAGACCTCTAAGGCCACATCAGTGCGTTTCTGTCATTGGCTGCCAGATAATATGTATTAGTGTGTTGATGTGAAAAAGGTAGATCAGATGGAACTTCTTCTTTTATTAATTATGAAGTTTTATTTTCCTTAAAAAAACACTGTTTGTGGGACACCGCTGTGCGCAACTGGTTACTGGGTTTCGCTCATAAAATGCACAGTAACCCGACTTTCCAGTGTATCCTGTGATATGTTTTGAGACGTCTCGACGATGTGATTAGGCGTCATATCAAATGCAAAGAAAATTAGTGAAACAAATGCAAGGATTATTACTACATTAGCGGAACCAAGAATAGGAAACACAATACTCCAAGGATGACATTGAATTTGGGGAAACCTGTAGTTTAGAGCACTTGCCTCGTACGCGAGAGGATGTGGGTTCAATTCCCGGGCAGGGCGAAATGTTGGGCAAGTTTCCTTACTCCATGTGCCACTTTACCAGCAGTAAGTAGGAACCCGGTTGTTTGTCAATTGGCGGATCGCTTTTCCACGGATAATAATTCCTTCCAAAAAAAATATTTGGTTACTCGATCCACAACTGTGGGACGCTGCAGTGCCCAATTGGCTGTCGCATTTCACCCACAAATTATACAGTCGATTCACTTCAGAATATTCTGGGAAGCACTTTGGGACGTCTCAAAGACGTGATAAGGCGCTATATTAAATGCAAGGATTATTATTAAGGGGGAAGATGAAAGAGATTGAGGGGAACTAGTTGACTCAGCGCTCATTGTGTCAAAACAGTGTGAGTCAGGAATAAACAAGACAAACGATGCTGGGCTAAATTATTAAATCAATTGCGTTTATATCCCCAGACATCAAAGTCAGGCTGTACAGTGCTCTGGTCAGGCCTCATCCTGAATACTACATACAGCTCTGGTCACAGTGACATGAAGGGGCCGCCCAGCCTCTAGAGGCGGCTCAGAGGAGAGCAATGAGGATGACCCCAGTGTTAGAGGAATGAGCAACTATTAGACAAGCTAGGGCTCTTTAGTCTTGAGAGAAGGCGACTCAAGAGAGAGAATCTCATGGAGATAACGTGTATATAATTTTAAATGGGATTCAAAAAGTAAACCCACATTTATATTTTAGGATAATAATAATCCTTGCATTTGATACAGCGCCTTATCGAGACGTCTCTCAGCAGAACTCTATAAGTACAGAGTTGTAAAAGACAATTTCAGGACAGAAAACAGACAAGTTAATCATCGACTGGAGCAGGCTGCAGTGAATGGTGGATGAGGTCAAGACACTGGAATCAGTTAAAAAGCAGCTTGATGGGATCAGGAGGGTGGGGTCTCTGGAGGGATGTGATCAGATGGGCTGAAGGATCTTCTTCATCCAGACCTACCTTGTTATATCGCTTCTCTTTGTGTTTTGGGGAAAGCACCTAACTAGAGGGTTCTGTTCAAAACCCAAAGACTTCTCAGTCTGCTTCTCTCTATTTGGGTAGATTACTAATTGTGTGTTTAATTTCTCCTGTGCAGGTATTGGCGTTGATCTAGTGTGTATGGGTGAGCAGCCCCTGCATGCTGTCCCGTTGTTTAAGGTACGTGTAAACCAAGGCTGTCAACCTGACCTGGCCATAGGATAATCTACATTTTACTTGAATTGTAGGACTATATATAGCTCCCTGTTGCTAGATTTCAATGATTAGGTTTTTATTTTACCATTGAAAATTAATAGCTACAGATCAAACCTATGCTACTATCTCAGTGACCCTTTTCAAGTTTGATAACCAGCAGAGGAACTAGTTTTCCTACAAACAGAACAGATTGAGTCACCGGTTTTGTATGTGATTTCTAAGTTTTTTAAAAAAGCATCTTCTGGATTGCCACCTGGCTACACTCAGTCTATTCAGAAAAATGATCGGAGCGGTACTTGAATGCAATGATAAGTTGTCTCCTTGCCAGCTGTACCGTATGGTATTTTTGTGGATCAACTAAAACTCCATTTGCCTCATCTTGATTGTTTTTGATGTGATGTGCATTAGCACAAAACAACACTGGGCAAGCGTAACGGATCAGCTAAAGTCAGATGAGACTCGTTAAAAACCTCTGCAGCATCCAACAAGTCAAATTAGGCCGCATTAATGACCTAGAAGCTATTGGGAGCCCTCTCGGTAATTTGGGCAGGTTGAGAGTCCATCCACGTTCACCTCAGTACTTCATCACAAACTGAGTGCTGGAGTTCATTCATATTTACCAGGTGCTATGAATATTTTTTTTATTTGAAAATGGAGATTGGAAATGGGGAGAATGCAGCGTGTGATAATTATCATCTTTTTTTTAAAAAAAGATTGTTTTGACAGAGTATGTTCAAGGTGTGGAGTGTCAGTGCTGCAGAATGCAATGGTTTCAGGGACCCACTGATGATCTGTATAAGGTTAGAATTCGCTTGTGTGAGCTCGATCCTTCCTAATCCTAGGTTAACATTATTGATGTCCATGTCCTGTTGCCTGGATATTTACATTGAATGGTTCAGAATTGCCCTGAAGGTTCAAGGTCCACCCACAAATCAGTCACAAGTCAGCGCTCTGAGACGCTATCCTGCATGAAGGGTGCTATATAAATGCAGGTTGTTGTTGTCACCTACAATTCCCTGAAGTACTGTGGAGCAGGCTAGCTTAAGTAATGAATCACTCAGTCTGCACTCCCTTTGCTCCTTCGACCAGAGTCCAAGAGGCATAATGACGGTGATTTTGAATGAGGAGCACTGTGCTGGAAGGTAGATTGACGTTGTGGATAGATTGACATTCACAATGTCAATGTATCTGCCAGATGGTGGGAAAGAGAGCAAATGGACTGGATAATAATCCTTGCATTTGATATAACGCCTTATCGTGTCTTTGAGCCGTCTCAAAGTGCTGCACAGAATATACTGTAAAGTGAATTGACTCTTTTTGTAGGCGAAACGCGGCAGCCAATTGCGCACAGCAGCGTCCCACAAACAGTCGTGGGTTGAGTGATCAATTTTTTTTTTGACAGATGTGTTGGGACTTCAATGGATTGTGGTATTGCTCATCCTTTAATTCTCCTTACTTACTGATTCTGTGTATCTATGCACACAGTATATACCTACTTATACAGGGTGACCAAAAGATCATGATAACTACCCTACTATCTATATAAAAAAAATGTCTTTAAGATTTATTAGATATTGTAATGGTATCACGACTTTTTGGTTATCCTATAGAAGCAGAGCAATCACGGGGCTATTTTCATACATCTACTCCCATCTGACTCTGAGACATTCAGTGTCAAAGACTTGAGCCAAAAAAAAGCCAACCAGACAGACAGGATCTTGCTCATGAAGGAAAAAAGCGATTAGCTTATTTTTAAAAAAGAAATTGATACTGCAGATTGCTGCAGATTAAAACTTTGAATTATTCAGCTAAATTAGATGCTCTAAATCACATAGCAGTCACTGTGGAGTGATTTGCAGGAGCTCTTGCAGTTTGATTAGCTCTACTGTATAAACAGACCCTTGTTTTGGATTAATGCAAGAAAGGATTTGCTGGAGGAAGAGATTCCTGCTTTATTTTATTTGCGGGATCTCGTATCTGTTGCATGTGAACCATGGTTTTGAAGCATCCGTTCAGCTGAACCTTATCTAAACAAAACTTATCTTTTGTTTGGTAATACTATTCCATTAAGATGTTTTATTATAGTTCATTAAAATGTATTACCTACACAAGTGAAGAGCATGGAAAGAGCTTTACTGGATGATTGAAATGTGGGATGAGTGCAGTTCGGAGGATGTGATGTGGTTACCATGATTGTTGAGGAAGAACAAAATGGTTAATATAGTTAATGGTGATTACATTCTGAGCTCTCTCTAAAGGTTGTACTGTACATTAAAACAATAGTTAAAATGAAGATCTGAAGGAGCCATGCAGAAGGGAAAGGTCCCCAGATCTATTCTAGCCCCCACTCTTTGGAACTCTATCCCACAGTCCCTTCGACTTGCTCCCTCCCTCGCCTCCTTCAGAGCACGTCTCAAGACTCTTCCTCTTAGACCGCGCATTCGGTCACCCTCCTATACCTGGCCTCCCTGCCCTCCACCCCTCCTGATCCCAACAACCTGCTCTGGTCCAAATCCCTGACTGTCCAGCGCCTTGGGACGTCATCCTGACGTGAAAGGTGTTATACAAATGTAATTTTTTGTTGTTGTTGCTAAATGAACTGATCCCAGCCACGGTGCAACTGATCTTGGCATCCTCCAGCACTGTGTTGGCATGTCAGCATAGTCATGAATTCAAAAGTCTCAATGTGTTGTTTGAACTGCCCACAATGTAGGGGCGAGATTGCTACCACTGAGCCAGGCTGATACAAAGGGAAGGACAAGTTTGCAGGCTTTGGGAAGAGAGCGGGGGAGTGGGATTGATTTGGAAGCTGTTTTACAAGAGCCGGCACAAACATGATGAACCGAATGGCCTCCTTCTGTGCTATATAATTCTATGATTCTATGAAATGCTAAGTACCCAGTCACCTTCGCACACAAAATAGGTTTATCTCTGATTAGTTTCTAATACTATAAGGGGGAGAAGTTCTCCCCCTTACATCTCATGTACAGATGTGAATTTATACAGGATTTTTTCCTGATGTGCACTTTGACTAAATGTCTACACATTCGCAGCAAAGATAAATTTTACCCTCAGAGATGGTTGTGAAGGCCTTCACAGAAATCTACAATTACAAATGGCATTCGTATAGTGTCTTTCGTGCCACAGGACGTCTCAAGGCGCTGGAGAGTCAAGGCCTTGCACCCGAGCTAGGGGTTGGAATCGAGGGGTGGAGGTGGGAGGATGTCCGAAGCCATGGTCAAAGAGAAAGCTCTTGAGACGGACCTTGAAAGAGTCTAGGGAAAAGTAGGGGGCACGAGGTGAAGGGATTCCAGGATGGAGTTCCAGAGGTTGGGGGCAAAAAGGCTAAAGGTCTAACCCCCAAGGGGGCAGGCAGGGCAGGGGACATGGATCAGACCAGTGCCCGCCGAGCGGAGGGAGCGGGCAGGTTGATAAAGTTTTAGTAGGTCGCAGAGAAAGGGAGGAGCAAGACCGTGGAGGGCTTTAAAAATGAGCTTTGTGCCCTCACTACTTAGATAGCTCTCACTCTCTGATCGATAGCTCTCTGAGGAACTCCATGTGAGTTTCCTGGTGAGCAGCTCAAGTCAACAGGAAATGTATGAGAGCATTGTCATTATCCTCATGTCAACACATTCCTAACCATTTTGAGTGATGATGGTTCCACCAGTTGGAAGTTACTGCTGAGAATCTGCTGAGAATTTCAACCTCTCTGCCCCTACACTCTGGAAGTCCATCCCACAGTCCCTTTGCCTCGCTTCCTTACCTCCTTCAAGGTTGGTCTCAAGACCCTCCTCTTCGATCGTGTCTTTAGTCGTCATCCCACCTCTCTGCCTTCCCTCACCCCTACCCCACCCCTCCCTCATGCTCGGGTCCCCACCACTGACTTCAGCGCCTTGGGACGTCCTTCCGATATGAAAGGCGCTCTATAAATGTAATTTTGTTGTTTCAGTGTAGTTCAGAATCATCCATTATTATTAAATTCAGTAATTAAACATTCTTGTTCACTTACTCACCTTGAAAATCAGAGGCAACTAATCAATTCAGTGATTACTTTGACACCATAATTATGCACTGGCTGGCTTTTTATATTTAAAAATATATTCTGAAACCTTTAATATAATGTTTTCTCAAAGTGGCCACAAGAATGCATTCCTTAGCAAGTGAACCCCTGGTTTTGTTTTGTGGAGGATGCAAACTTGATCTCAGTCTTTTATAAAAGTAGTGAGGAAATGTGACCCATTCCTGTTTTTTGTTTCCCTCTCCTTTTGCTTCACAGGATCAGGTTTCTCTAAGTGAATTGGTTAACAACGAGTATTTGTTCTGCTTGACGTAAATGTGAAAAGATCCTTTCTCTCCATAATGACTCATTCTCGTCTTTTGTAAATGATAATCTGCAATGGGATTGAGCAGTTCTGCTAGACTTTCTCTCATTGTCGCATTGCAATGGTTTGTGAAATCGGGACAATGCAACAAAACCTTTTGATAAAGAGACATTTATAACTCAAATATGACTTAAGACTGTGCTGTCCTGTAAATAAGTTACTCGTTTATCAGTTGAAATGAGCAAATGTGTATTTTCTGCATTAGAGTCAAATGCTAAAATAATTCTGCTTTGTGAGAAATATGATCATTGTGTACCTTATTACTCATTAGGCTATAAATTATGTGTCAGTCTGGCTCAGTTTTTTTTTGTCAGCTGCATGTCTGGCTCATACAGAAATCCATCACCATGTTTAAGGGCATCCAAACTGAGTTCCGTGCACTTGGAAATTCCTGTGTCCAGAATGGAATACACACTCTCCTCTGAAGGATACATCCTGTGGAACTAATTCCAAAGAGTATGAGATGCAGGTTTGCAGGAGGAAGGCAGTCCTGGTCAGGAACCAGATGTGGGGTAGGAAGGATAACCGGGAATCAAACCTGAGGCCAAGGTGCATAAGGTTAAGTGAGTCTGAGGGATAGGAAGGGAAGTTAAGTAGTTCAGAACTGCAGGTGAGAAGACATTAATGGGAGCGAAGGAGGATGGCTTCTGTCTCGTCCATGTTGTTCTCAGCCAGGCCTTGATGTCAGCAGGCAAGCAGTCAGAACATTGGTAGGATCTGGGGTTGTCACTATAGAAGGAAAAATACAACACTGAGAAACGACATTCTCATCTCTCCTCAGTGATAGCAAAGCTCCAGGTTAAAGTTTGTGTTGTGAACAGCTGGGTTTGCAATATAAGGGTTTCCTTTGGCCAGTTAGTCTGAGGTGAGGTGGATTTGGTAGTAAGTGAGAGATGCAGCTACCGAGAGGCAAGGCTTTGCAAAACTTTGACTGTGCAGTTCTTCATTTAGCCTACTCCTGAGCACCCCAGAGACAGGGTCATGACTGTAGCATTGTGCAGTGAGACTCGTACACTTGTTTCTCAGCACAGACAATGGTATCTCCTTGCTGATATTAGTTGCTTCAGAATCCATGTCTTCTCTCCTTGACAGCTTCACAATCGAAATATCCCTGGAGATTCCCGCCTGGGTGATGATTACAACATTCCTCATTGGATAAATCACAGGTCGGTGCACGCAGTAATGGTCAGACCACATATGCTGCAATTAAGGCTGCAGTAGCACCAGTTATTTGCTGCAGAGGTAACTGCTGATACCCATGTATTCTGTCGTCAGCTTAGAATTAGTAAAACCCCACTTTAAAGCAAGAGTAAAAAGCTTGACGTTTGGTCATTCCTATAGACCTCTGTTTGGGGGCCATTGCGTTGATTCTGAATGTGCAGTTCCCTTTAGACTGATGTCTCTTTCTCTTGATTTGCAGCTTCTACACGTCCAAGAGTCAGTTGTACTACAATAGTTTCACTCCTCGTATTAAACTTGCAGGAAGAAAGGTGAGTTGACCAGGGTGAGGAGTGGAGTGGGGGGAATATGCAACAGACCAGTTTGTCAAACGGGGAAGAGGGGCGTGCAAGCAGGAGAGGAGCAGATGTGAGCAGACGATTGGGGAGCAAAAAAGCTCACAGAGGTAGGGAGGTGCTAGCCTAGGGGTGGGCAATTACTTTGGCTGGCGGCACTTCACGAGTTTTGGTAAACTTTGCGGGCCACACACTTAATATAGATGCAAATGCTTAATAATAGCTCAAAATCAAGTCTTACACTTGTACATGCATAAAATATGGTCTATATAATTAATATTCATTAAAATTAAGTTAAATAAAAACAACTCATTGAGCAGACATTTATTCGATATTGATTCATTTATTCACATATTGATGAGAATATGAGAAACTCACTCAGTGGGAAGAATAAAAGCGTTGATATGTGTTAACCAGACAATTGAAGTCAGGCATCATCTTCATTGTTGCAATGCAGAGTACTGCTGCAAGGTGGTCATCAGTCATCATAGATCTATGTTTTGATTTATTAAATTTCATCACAGAAAATGTCTCTTCACATATGTATGTGATCCAAACTGCACAAGCATCCTCCGGGCATGAGCCTTTATTTTTAGATTGGTATATTCATTAAGAGAGGTGTAGAAACTAGGAGCGGCACTGATTTGAATTGCTCTGCATGACTCCGCATGACAGGTCATTTTCGATCATATTGAAATCCTGGAATCAGCGAGAAAATTCGGCATGTAAGGCAAGTAGTGACAAAGTATACTTTTTAAGGTTTTGATCGCAAACAGTAATCTGCTGCAAAGTTGGAAAGTGGACGAACAGCCTGTTTCCTCTGATGCGATAAAAGAAATAATTTTGTCATAAATGACTTGACGCTGCAATACAAATCATGCACAAAGCTCCCCTTCCGTTGCAGTTTTGAATTCAGTTCATTCACGTGGCCCATGATATCAACGGCAAATGTGAAATCAGAGAGACAATTCGCATCATTCAGCTGTGGGAAATACAAATCTCTTTGTTTCATGTCCAAAAATCAATCAATCTCTGTTCTCAGTTCCCACACTCTTTTCAAGACCTTTCCTATACTAAGCCATCTTACATTGGTGTGATGCAGAACATCCGTGTGCTCGGATTCCAATTCCTCAAGCAGAGTTATAAATTGCCTGTGATTTAATCCTCTTACCCGAATGTAGTTGAAACACTTTTGTGACTGTGTCCACGACATTGCTTAGTTTTAGAACACTCTTACAGAGGACCTCTTGGTGGATAATGCAGTGTAGAAAAACAATATTCTGTTCTGGATTTGTTTCTTTGACTTGATCTTGAATTCTTTCAGTAACCCAACATTTTTGCCTGTCAGATTTGGGCTTCCATCGGTGGTCACATTCACCAATCTTTTCCACTCCACTTCTAATTTTAAGATACACATATTTACTGCCTCCAAAAAGTCTTCTCCAGTTGTCGTAATTTTCATTGACTGCATTGATGCCAATTCTTCTGTGAACTCAAAATGTTTGGTGATACCTCAAATAAAAAATTATCAACTGGTCTTTGACATCACAACTCTCATCAAGTGCCAGTGAAAAACATGCAAAATTGTTTACTTTATTTTGTATCTGCAGATACAGGTTCTCAGAGATATCCTCGACACGTCTCACAATAGTTTGCCTTGACAAGCTAATGTTCTCAAACTGTTTTTTCTTGTCTGGGTATAAAATCGAGGCAGAGTCAACCATACATTCCTTTATAAATTCTCCTTCAGAGAATGGTTTGCTGTTCTTGGCGGTTTTGTGTGCAATTATGTAACTCACTCTTGTAATCTCATCCTGGGACGCAAATTATTTTGTGAAAATGCTTTGCTCTTTTTGCATTCGAACAACCATCTCATCGGCTTTCTTTCCTTTTTCTTCAGCAGAAATGTTCTTATATTTGCAAGCGTGTTTGCTCTCAAAATGGTGATTCAAGTTGTAATCTTTGAGCACTTTCCTTGCAAATTAAGCACACAGCTTTTCCACCCATACTGGCAAAAAAAAATTTAGAAACCCATTAATTGTTGAATATTCGGCCTTCAGCGTCCACTTTCCGCTTCTTTGATAAACTCATTTTAAAATAACGTCCTCTTCAGTGAAAGAATCATTTGGGGGGCCGGATATGGCCCCCGGGCCGTATTTTGTCCACCCTGTGCTAGGGTGTGAAGGGATTTGTACGGTAATGGTGAGGACTTTGAAATCCATCCATAGGGGAGCCTAGCAAAGATTTGTAGTGATGGGATTGTGGAGTTTGGTGTGTGTGTGTGTGAGGATTGCAAGTGGTGGAATTTTGTAGGAGCCAGAAATTGTTGGTGGTGGAACTGGAGCGAGGAGTGTGTTTGAGAAATTGAGTGAGCAGATAACAAAGGTGTACATGAGGGTTTTGGCGGGAATTGAAGTGAGATGGGGACAGAAGCGGTTAATGAAGCCAAGATTAAGGGAAATGGGCTGGGTCAGGGATCGAATGCGAGGAATGACACGACCTTGACACCGTTTTAAAATGCATTTATTTTAAAATGTAGGTTTTTCTTGCTGCAACGTCAAAATTCAGATTACAAGCCCTGCTCTGAATATGGATTTCTCATGTAAAGCCGTTTTGCTATTAAATGTAAATCTGCTCAGGATTTGCCGATCTTTCTCCCCAGCCTTATTCTGTGTGTTTCCATGTTTCTTAGGCACCGGGAGAGAAAAGCAGGAACAACAAAGATAGCAGTGAGTTCTTTTACCTTCCCCCTCTCTTCTGTCGCCATAGAAACAGCAAACGTCCTGCTGCGGCAGAATGTTGCACTTAATGCTCAGTGAGGATAAATCTGTCAAAATTAAGGTTGAATGTAAAGTTAGGACTTCATAAGTTCCACAGTGATGGTGTTGCTGCTGTTGGGTTTCCTCAAGCTTTTAGGCACTCACTTCCACTACTTACTGTAGAGTGGTACTATTGCGTACTGTCGCAGAGACTCAAAATTACGGCACAGTTACGTTCTTTTTGGTCAGCCAGGTGTGCCATCGCCAACAAAAACAGAAGTCGCTGGCAACACTCAGCAGGTCAGGCAGCATCTATGGAGAAAGGAAAATGAGTCAACGTTTCGTCAGAAGGGTCGTGGACCCGAAACGTTGACTCACTTTCCTCTCTCCATAGATGCTGCCTGACCTACTGAGTGTTCCCAGCGACGTCTGTTTTTGTTTCAGATTTCCAGTGTCTGCAGAATTTTGCATTTTGTGAGCCATCGCCATGCTTAAGTATCCAAACTAGATGGATTTCCTCCTATGTATGGAAATTTCCCTGTGTCTGGAATGGAATGAAGACTCTCCCTGGAGGAATGCACTCTGCTTACCAACCCTAGGTTAGCAAGAGCCAAGGAGTGTGCGATGGGGTAACTACTGGAGAGTTCATCCGTTTCTCTCATTAAGCATCCTTTGTTGTTCAAAGCACTGATCAGAAGTCACCTAGGTTCAGTTAGTAGCCAAATAGCCTCATCTCTGAGTCAAAATTGAAATTTAATTGAAAACTTGAGCTTTAATCATCATCCCAGTATCTTCGTGTTTGTGACTTGTTTCTGGTTCATTCATTCAAAGAGATTTTACAACGTCCCTAAAGAGCTGACGAGGGGTATTGGGAGTAGAGCTCAAAGGAATATTCTAATCTCTACGACTGTAGGAAGAGGCACTAAATGTCCCACCGTGCTGTTTATTTTCTCTGTTGCTCACATTGACGCATCTGTTTCCCTTCAGCGGTAAGTGCCAATAGTCCCAAAGAGTCAGAGAACAGCCTCCCTATCCAGGTGGACTATGACGCCTACGATGCTCAGGTGTTTCGGTTGCCTGGACCCTCTCGTGCCCAACGGCCTACCTCTTTCAGGTGAGTGTCGGACTCTTTTTCCAGAGCCCTTTAATTTACACTTTGGGAGGTTATGATTACCTTTTAAAGTATTTTGTATCATTTTCCTATCTTGACAATACTGTGTCTCGATCGTGCCTTCGGTCGCCCATCTACCCCTACCCTCCCCACCCTCCAACCTTCCTGATCCCAACCACCAGCTCAGGTGCGGATCACTGACTGTCCAGCACCTTGGGACGTCCTCCTGAGGTGAAAGGCGCTGTGTAAGATGTCATTTTGTATTGTATCTAGCACCATCCAAGCAGCATCACGTAATTTACTCTGTATCCTTTCAAACTCCAGAACTATTCGAGAAAGCCACACGAGGAAGAGTTCCAGCTCCTACGACGCCTCGAGCAGCCCCCCCCACCACAGCAGGACCCTGCCCTTGGAGGAGGTCCGCAGTCAGGCGTCTGACGACAGCTCTCTGGGAAAGATCTCAAACATTCTCCTGATACCGAGGCCTCATCTTCACCAGTATGAAGTCAGCAGCTCTCTGGGGTACACGAGTACACGTGGTAAGGAACAGGGTTGCGTTCTTATTTTTTTAAAAATTCCCCTCTTCAAACTTCCAAGGCCTTACACCCACCCCCACCCCCACCCCACCCCTGGGAATCCAGCCGAGAGTCAGAGACAACAATAGATCCCGCCCACCCTCCACCGAGTGTCTGCCGATGTTGTCCCGGGTCACCAGCTATAATGTGACGTGAGGCAGAGCCACTGCTGATGCCCTTCTCTTGTGGCCTCTGGAGGCGAAGGCTTTATAAGTAGGAAATGGTCTTTGTCTGGTATTCTTCTTGTCTTTGAGCAATCAAAAGAAAACACAGGGTGACCAAAAAGTTGTGATGCCGCGACTGTGTCTAACCAGCCTTAAAGGAATTATGATATTTTTGTGTTAAATATTAATAAGTTAATTAATAATCTTCAATTATTAATCCATAATAATTATCTATTATCTTTTCTAGGTCTCTGGAAAAGATAATAGATAATTAGATAATAGGGCAGTTGGCACGACTTTTTGATCACCCTGCAACAACAACAACAAGATTACATTTGTATAGCGCCTTTCATGTCGGGAGGACGTCCCAAGGCGCTGGACAGAGTACAGCATTTCAGACCCATTTGCAGTTCTCTTTAATAGGGATTTTTCTCTTGATTTAAGTGTCAACTCGGCTCAGTTGCTCAGTCCTCCTGCCTCTGATGATTGTGAGTTCGAAACAGTGTCAGAAGTTTTGAACTCAAGACTGACACTCCAGGAAGCGCACAACTTTTTGTCGGAGATGCCACCCTCCGGATAATAATAATAATAATCCTTGCATTTGATACAGCGGCTTAAGGCCGGTCTCAAGACCCTTCCCTTCGACCGTGCCTTTGGTCGCCCTCCCACCTCTCTGCCTTTCCTCACCCCTAAACCACCCCTCCCCCATGCTCGGGCCCCGACACCTGACTGTTCACGCTTTCGGATGTCCTCTCGACGTGAAAGACGCTCTATAAATGTCATGTTGTTGTTATCGCGCCTTCTAGACGTCTCAAAGCGCTTCACAGGATATACTGTAAAGTGTAGTGACTGCATATTTGTGGGTGAAACGCAGCAGCCAATTACGTCCCACACACACACACATACACGCAGCCGTGGATTGAAATGACCAAATTATTATTTTTTTTTTTTTGGGATGAGACTTTCAACCAAGCGCCTGCTTCTTTAAGCGCTCTGAGACGCTACGCTGCCTGGAGGGAGCTATATAAGTGCAAGTTGTTGTTGTGCCTCCTGTCTGTTCAGGTGGGCATTTAAAAAAAAATTCCCAAAAATTGGAAGAAGTGAATGGAATTTCTCTCGAGATCGATCCCAGCCAACAATCCCAGAAATGCATCCAAGTTGTTGTTGTGGTTGATGTTGTTGGCCGCTCCGCTAACTCTGAGCTCGGCATTGTAGATATCCTGGAGAGGATGATGGATTCTCGGCAGAGGGACTCCAGTGCCCCCGGGCGCTTCCACGTGGGCAGCGCTGAGTCCATGCTCCACATTCGCCCGGGCGGCTACACCCCACAGCGGGCACTCATCAACCCATTTGCCCCCTCCCGGATGCCGATGAAACTGACATCGAACCGCAGGAGGTGGATGCACACCTTCCCAGTGGGTGAGTTGGTTTGACTGTCTCTCAACCCCTTCACACAGCAGGTGGCAGACTCTTACTGCTTGCCGCAGGACATATGCATCATCAACAACAACAAATGGCATTTATACAGCAGCCTTTCACGTCAGGTGGGACGTCCCAAGGTGCTGGACAGTCTGGGATCCGCACCCGAGCTGGTGGTTGGGATCAGGAAGGGGTGGAGGGCAGGTGGGGTAGGAGGTAGACCAAAGGCGCGGTCGAAGAGGAGGGTCTTGAGACGGGTCTCGAAGGAAGGCAAGGGAGGGAAAATTCTTATATTATGTCGTACGTAGGTCCGTCTGGAGAAGCTATTCAGATCCATCACCAGACCAGACAACATATGGCGGAGCTACAGGGCAGCAGCACGAGGGATCCCACACAGTCTTCAGCAGAGCTGCTGGAGCTGGCTTACCATGAAGCGACTGGCAGGTGGGTGCTCGTGGTACTGACAGCTCCTGACACCTGTGCTCGCCAACTCTGCTCTTCATGTCTCGGTGTGTGCACACTCTGCTGTGCTTCAGCAACTCTGCTCTGGCCTGAGTACCTGCAAGGCAGACTTATTTTTAGTGCAGGAAGCCGGCTGGCTTTAATAAATAATATAATAATAATCCTTGCATTTGATATAGTGCTTTTCACATCTTCTGGACGTCTCAAAGCGCTTCACAGAATATACGGTAAAGTGAATTGACTGTATATTTGTGGGCGAAACGCGACAGCCAATTGTACACAGCAATGTCCCACAAACAGTCGTGGATTGAAGTGACCAAACTATTACTGTTTTTTTCTTGAGGGATTATTATCAGGTGTGTGGAGTAAGGAAACTTGCCCACGGTTTTGCCCCCTGCCGGGAATCAAACCCGGGAATCAAACGCTTGCAAGGCGAGCGCTCTAACCACTGAGCTACAGGACTCCACAAACACCAATGACTGGTGACATTGGCATTACCAGTCATGTGAACGGTGATTTCACATCAATAATAATCTTTGCATTTGGTATAGCTTTGCCGTATCTTGTCGGAAGGACAACAACAAACAACAAAATTACATTTGTAAAGCGCTTTTCACATCGGGAGGACGTCCCAAGGCACTGGACAGAGTTTCAGACCCGAGCTGAGGGTCGCGGTGGGGGAGGTGGAAGGGCAGGGGATGAAGCTGGGAGATCGAAAGCACGATCGAAGAGGAGGGTCTTGAAGGTGGCAAAGGAGGGGGCGAGACGGAGGGACTGCGGGATGGAGTTCCAGAAGTTAGGAACAGAGTGGCGGAAGGCCCGCCCGCTGATAGTGGGGTGAGCAAGGCGGGAAACGTGAAGCAGGCCGGAGCCCACTGAGTGGAGGGAGCAAACAGGATGGAAGGGGGTTAGGAGGTCGGAGAGGTCGGGGGGAGTAAGACTGGAGGGCTTTGAAGGTGAGGTGAAGCCAATGGAGTCGAGCGAGGATGGGGGTGATAGGGTCACTGAAGGTAGCTGTGAAGCTCCCAAAGTGTTTTCTGACATGGCAGGTCATGAGGGTCCGATCCCCCTGTCCGTGGTGGGTGTGGGGATATTTACAGCTCTGGGTGACACAGCCTCCTGTCTGCTGGACGTGGGTTTAGTGCAGAATAGAGTCAGCAGAGAGCAGAGAGCGGCACAGAAATGGACTCGTGACAGTCGGTCATTGCTTTCTGCCTCTGCAACATTTATCGAATGTGTCATCTCCCACACCCAATAATGGCAACACACACACCGTACACACACACACTGTACACACACACCGTACACACCCACACACATACCATACATACACACACCCACACACATACCGTACACACACCCGCATGCACCCACACGCACACCCGCACGCATGCGCGCGCACACCAGCACACAAACCAGCACACACACCGTACACACACCCACATGCACACACACCCCGCACAGACACGCGCACACACACTCACATGCACGTATACACACCCACGCACCCTCTTGCACCCGTTGGCACCCGCGCACGCGTACCCACACACACCTGCATATACCACAACAACTTTTATTTATATAGTGCCCTTCACATGGGGTCAGGTAGCAGAGCGCTTAAACATACATGCACGCGCACACCCCCTGAAGTCCACATCTAGATTATGCGATGACGTCCTGTGCAAATGAGGCAGAGGGAGGGGTGGTGATCAGCGATACAGGCTGAGGGGCAGTGTCTGTCCACATTCTGCCTTGCCTTCTGACAGAAGCACTAGCTAAACACTACAAATCTGTCACTGCAGATTAAATCACTGTATCGTCGGGTAAAGGTTAATTGAATGCCCTCCAGTGTCCTTTACAACGCATTTCCTTGCTCTTGAATGGTAAATGCACAATCCAAAACAATCTTTCTAATAAAGAAATATGGCATGAAAGTGCAGGCCGCCTCGGGTTACATTAATATCTCCCAATTTACAGTCATTTGTGAACAAGTAAGTAAATGGCTCAGAAGCCCATCCCTTAGGGCTGTGAAGAGAAGATGCTGGAAAGGCATAACTCTTGATGAACTTGAAACACGGACCATACTTCCTGTTTCAGGCACTAACTAATCTGCCATACGTTTCCAGCTTTTCTGTTTCTATAACATTTTATTAACCTTTTTTTAAAAAAAAATCATTTGGTCAATTCAATCCGCGACTGTCTGTGGGACGCTGCTGTGTGCAATTGGCTGCCGCATTTCGCCCACAAAATATACAGTCAATTCACTTTACAGTATATTCTGCGAAGCGCTACGAGACGTCTCGAAGACATGATAAGGCGCTATATCAAATGCCAGGATTATTATAATTATAATAGCACAGAAGGAGGCTATTTGCCCCTCGTATCCCTTTCAAAGAACTGTCCATTTAGTCCCAATCCCCTGCGTTTTTCCCCACACCCTCTATTCTAGTTCACTCCAGTGCAGTGCTGGGGGGAGGACTGCATTGTTGGAAGTTCTATCCTTCAGATGAGACATCAGACCGAGACGTCTTCTGTGTAACAACAAAAATAGGGAAGTTGTGAAGCAGATTGAGAGTTTTCATTGTACACTTGAACCCCTTCCCAAAGTGACTTGGGAAGTTCTCCTGCTCGAGGGGCACTATATAAATTCATGTTGTTGTTGTTGGGATCCCGTCGGCCTGATCAGGTGGATATTGAAGATCCCGTGACCCTATTTGAAATTGGAAAGGAGTTTCTCCCAGTTTCCTGACTAAAAGTCCCTCAAAAATAAAATTGGTCATTCACTTCATGGCCTTTTGTGAGAAATTGCTGTGTGGAAATTGACTTCCACGTTCGCTTACAAAATACGCAGTCACTACACTCCCGGAATGCGGTTTAGCGGTGTTGCAACAATGTGACGAGGCGTTATATTAAATGCACGGATTATTATTGATAAATATGGGTTCTGCTTCAAATGCTGTGTTTGTTAGAGCATTTCTTGCTTAATCACTCTCTTGAGAGAAGAAAATCTCTCCCTTACTTGTTGGTGATGACCTTAACTGTATGCCCGCTAGTTACCAGCATTTGCAAATTTCAGTTTCGAAAGCATTCGGATTTTCATTTCCAGCTACTCCCTCCGAGCTTGGTATGATTGCTTCATTAATAATGGATGTTCTCTGGGTTATAGCGCAGTCTGTGCAAGACTAATGTGTACCATCACGAGCAGGGCCAGGCTGGTTGCAAGAGGAGCCAGCAGTGTTTACGCACAGTGCTTGTAAATTTTTATGCCCATTTGTTCCTCCGGGGCTTTATAAATTAACAAATGTGTTTATCTGTTGGTTTCTTTAGCTTTCGATTCGGCTCATTTAAAAAAAAACATGCTCTGCATCCCTTGTGAAAGATTTGTGTTGTATCTGACCAACTCCACCTTGAACCACGAACAAGTGAAAGATCGTTAAATGCCAAAAGTGAATTACTAATGCGCTCCGTAAACATTCTCTTGTTTATCGGTTGCTCTCAGGCGGAATGCAATGAAGCAAGCAGCGGAGGCTTTATCTTTCCTGGGGTGTGCAGGGATGGATGAGTTTGCCACCAGCCCAGCCAGCAGTCACAGTGCAGGTGAGAGCCAGCTAGCACATGGGATCGTGATCCCTTTGTACCGCGTTGGTTTCACAAACCCGTGAAACAAGAAGAGGAACGATTCCAATTAAAATTCATTCTGGATGCAGACAACAACAACAACAACTTGCATTTATATAGTGCCCTCCACGCAGGGTAGTATCTCAACGCGCTTAACAGTGGCGGAGCCTGACTCCGTGCCGGGGGGGAGGGAGGAGGTGGCCATAAGCACGGTTGAACAGGAATGTTTTCAGGCGGAACTTGAAAGAGGGGAGAGAGGGGGGCAACACAGAGGGATTGAGGGAAGAGTGTTTCAGAGTTTTGGGGTGTAGTGGCTGAAAGCCCGACCTCCGATGGTGGGGCGGAGGGTGTGAGGGACGAACAGGAGCCGGTGCCAGTCGAGCGGAGGTGCTGGGTGGTGGATTGGGGAGTGAGGAGGCCGGAGAGGGAGGGAGGGACCAGGGAGGGAAGGGATTTGAACACGAGAGTGAGGATCTTGAAGTCGATCTGTTCGGTGATGGGGAGCCAGTGGAGCCTGGGCCAGAACTGGTGAGATGTGGGTGTGGAGTTTGGTTCGGGTCAGTATGTGGGCGGCAGAGTCTGAATGAGCTGATCTTGTGAATGGTGGAGCTGGGGAGACCGGCGAGGAGTGCGTTGGAGTAATCCAAGCGGGAGGTGACAAATACATGCACAAGGGTTTCAGCTGCATTTGCGGTAAGGTACGGTTGGAGGGGGGCAATGTGACGGAGGTGGAAGAAGGTGGTCCTGGTCAGGGACCAGATGTGGGGAAGGAAGGACAGCTGGGGGTTGAACCGGACGCCTAGGTTGCGCACTGGTTCGGTGAGTCTGAGAGAAAGGAGGTTGAGGAGTTTAGATCCACAGGAGTGAAGGCATTGATGGGAGCAAAGGAGTATGGCTTCCGTCTTGTCCATATTCAGCAGCAGGACGTTTACACTCATCCAGGCCCTGATGTCTGCCAGACAAGCTGATAGAACATCGGGGACCTGGAGTTGGTACTGGAGGAGGCAAAGTAGATTTGTGTGTCATGTGTCATCCGCATACACATGGAAGACACTCTCTAATGTTGAACACGACAGTGCAGAGCTGGTCCACAGTGCAGTTCAACCTCCTCAGACCCCTCTACAATATCAATGAAAATTTTGGGTCATTCTTTCCCCCATCTCCCCTCCCTCCCCACCTCGGGTGTCAGCCAGTTCTGACTGTTAAGCGCTACGGGACTCTACCCCGCGTGAAGGGCGCTATATAAATGCAAGTTGTTGTTGTTGTTAAGCTCTTTGCTGCTTCCTCCCAACGTGAAAGGCTCTTTACAAATGTAATTTTGTATTGTATATTTGTTCCTTGTCTGTTCTTCGGTTGCCCCGTTTCTCCCTGTGTGATGTAACCTTCTCCCAGAGCTCTGCTCACGTTATCCTCGCTGTGCATGCGGGGCCTGGGATAAGTCTACCTCTATCCCTGTAGCGAATACATTTAGCTTTTACTCTGAATTTTGCTGTGAAGCCAAGGTTCAGATCAGGAGCTCACCGTGTGCAGAGATGTGAGGGCAAACCATGCCCCAGCCCTCTGGAGTCCCGCTATGGGTAGAATATGTATTAACCATGAGATTTGCCTGTTCTTGTAGCTGTGGGGAAGAATCTTGAACAGAAATTATTCCCGTTGAAGACTCCTGTCCCTGGTGCTAATGCACACGTTAAATAAACCCCAAAATAACATGTGACTGGGTTCACAAACACTTTGTGGTATAGACTGAATAGGTGAAACTTGATGGAATATATTCATAGTAATAATAATAATAATCCTTGCATTTGATATAGCACCTTATTACCTTGTGGAGATGTATAGTAAAATATTGCTTCTTTGCTTCTGTGGTTGAGTCATTGTGGTTTAATGTTCAGGATTTGGTTTGTTGTTGTGATGAGCCGAGGGACTGCCAGTTCTTGTCCAACCTGTGAGTGAGTGGGAGGGAGGGAACGTGTGTCACAGCTGTGACTGAAATCCGGAAGCAGTGAGGTATAAGTTGAACAATGTCTCAGGCACGGTGTCGCCCAGCTGCCTCTTAAATCACTGACTAACACAGTCTCTGTTTGTTCCAGGGACTCCTCAAGTGTCATCTTATGAGGATCCTTCGACCAGCCCTGACCCAAGTGAGTCTCAGACTCGTCAGAGCAGACTGAGAGCTCTGGAAATGTACCATTCCAGACACAGGGAGGTTTCCACGTGTAGGTGACAGTATACACGGACCTCTGAATCTGGCTTGTGTATGCTTAAGCACAGTGATGAGTTTCTGTAGCTGTCTCTACATTTACGCCTTTACATAATAACTTGAGTTTACAGTTCAACCGGCGGGAATAAATTGGTGATTTTTAATGTTTCAAAACCTGTTTGGAATCGTTGAACACTTTGAAAGGATCAGGTTTTCATCTGTATTAAAAAGGAAATCAATTCAGTTCCAAAAGAGGATTGAGAAAGAAAACTTTCTCAGAACAATACTTTTGGATGCAGTTAGTAAGGAGAAAAATCAGCCAGGGTTTCCCCTCTTGACCATTTGTTGCTGGACTGTGTGGACATTGACTCAGGACAGTGGCAAGCATGGCTGTCGAACAACTAGGTTTTACATGACCTGCAATTGAAGAGGGTAAATTCAGAACAAATCTGCGGAAACTACTTCAGTGAGCGAGTAGTAAACGTATGGAACAGGCTCCCTAGGGAAACAGATGGTGGAAGCAGAAAGTGTTGTTTGTTTCAAGAACAAATTAGATAGATTTCTGCTAAAAAAAATAATAGCTTGGGCTACAGTATATAGTTTGGGACACAATATGTCAAGCGACAGCCATGATGGTGGAAGGCAAACTATTGATGGACCATCATCTTTTGCCAGCAAATTCTTACATTCTTACTACTTCGGAGCCCTCAGCACAAAAGAGAATTAAATGGGGAGATTAGCAAATATAAATGACTTTTTTTTTGGTGCTGATGACTTAGAAATACATAAAATATGTTGGGTTATGCTTAACACAAATACTGACCCTCGAGATGGCTGGTGTTCAAATAAGTCGCTGTGTAATGTAACGAAAATCCATCAATTGCACTAACATCTCTAGCAAAATATTGTTATCGTATTTTAGTTAATATCCATTCATTGCTGCAGGTAAACCATTGAATGTTGAATGCTGAACGAGGGATGTGTGTGCGTGCGTGTTTGTGTGTGTGCCTGTGGCGATTTTGACTTGCACATAACAATTGTGTAATGTCTGATGTCTGTCTTCACTGTTGTGACCAGGAAGTCTCACACCCATCATCAGATACATTGTTGAGCTTATTCGGTGAGCTTCTGTCCAGGTCCTGGTGTAGCTAGCGGCAGGAAAACCCAGCTGACCGTTGTCCTGAATGTTAATTATTTATTTGATGCTGAATGTATTTTATCATTTCTGTTTTTTTTCTCCTTTTATTTTGGCCATTTGTGATCTGAATCTTCCTGGCATGGTATGTGGCAGTATCCTGTGTTGTGTAGATGTGAAAGAATGGGTGGTATATAGTGAAGCTTCACTCTAACTATTCCCCCCCTCCCTTCCCATCCCGCTAATTCGTAGCATATAATTATAATGTAATTTACCACTAAATAATCCCTCATCTTGTTTTGCTATCAATTCATTTAAATCCCAGTCATTCGATAACCACCTTTAGGTTGGATTTTTGCTGTTAAATTCTGTATATGGATGTAAATTGTCTGCATGCATGTTAAATTTGAATATAAAAGAACCTTTTTACTTTTTTAACAGCTAATCATTTCTTTCTCTCTTTATTCTCACTTTTCCTGCAATCGATGGCTTCACCTCCTGTCCTTACCCTCTTATTCCCTGTCCTGGATATCCGTGCCCCTGTGATTTCTGACCTGCTGAATGAAGTTCTGATGCTGTCTGCTCCCCCTGTAGTGCCCAGTTTCTGTTGCACAGTGGGTGTCGATTGGAAATCTCTCACCACACCTGCCTGTTTGCCACTCACCACGGACTACTTCCCAGACCGGCAGAGTTTGCAGAATGACTACACAGAGGGCTGTTACGATCTCCTCCCAGAGACTGATATCGACAGGTATGTTATGTCATCTCAACAATGTCTTGCTTTGTATTTTTTAAAAAAATCTTGTTCAAAGGCAATTGGCCAGGATTTAAAATATCCAGTGGATCAGAGCTGGGTGATAACAATGCCCGACTGCACCAGGCTGTGCAGGGAACAATCAGCTATTGTTATAAAAACAGAAGTCCCTGGGAACACTCAGCAGGTCAGGCAGCATCTATGGAGAGCGAGTTAATGTTTAGGGTCAATGACGTTGGGGGGGATGTTGGAAGGGAGAAGATTGTATAAGGACAAGCAGAGAAGGGACAGGGAAAGAAAGACAAAGGAAACATCTAGGTGGAGGACAGGAGATGATGAGATCATTGATTAGCTATTCTTGATCTTTATCTAGTGATATTGTGTGGAAAGTGTTTCTGTATGTCAAGTGAGGATAGGACTGGCTGCGTTCAGCAATGACACTATTCCCTCCTCTCTCTCAATCTTGTCCTCTCACATTTGCAGCCATTTGCACATTTGCAGCCTGGTCTCACGCACAAAGATGAGTCACTTGATTGCGGTCTCCGAGGGCAGCCTGGAATACTCCAGGACCAGTTGTTTCCTTGAGAAAAATGAAGGGGAAACATTCAGTTCCTACATTTATTTATCTTGATTTCCATTCGAGTCACTTTGTCGGCGTAGATTTGAAAATAGTTTTTTGCTGTGATGTGCTTGCAACCTTATTGTTCCACAGAGGTCCAAGTCAAACACAGACCAGTTTACTCAATATCACTTGCCTTGTGTTGACTTCCCAATCCTGTGGAGCGATCTTCGAGTTCCAGGAGTATCTGACACTCCCACCTGCTCAGCCACATTACATCCAAATCTCTTACATTTCGAGGATTGTTCAGGACTTTGCTGGCTGACCCCAGAATGTGGATGTTGGATCTGCCTCCAGCTGTCGTCTGTTTCCTCCAGCAGGTGGAAGCATTTTACTGCAAATGTTGTGAGGTCCTTTGCTGCAGTGAGCACAGATACAATGATAATGATTGCGTTTGATACAGCGCTTTATCATGTTTTCGAGACATCGCAAAGTGCTTCGCAGAGTATACTGTAATGTGAATTGACGGTATATTTTAGGCTCGAAACGCAGCAGCCAATTGCGCACAGCAGCGTCCCACAAACAGTCGTGGATTGAGCGACCAAATTTTTTTTAATATATTTTATTTTTGAAGGGATTATCACCCCCAGAAAAGCGGTCCGCCAATCAGCTAACAACCGGATTCCTACTTTACTGCTAGGTAAACAGAGGCTTGTGTTGTGTGGAGTAAGGAAACTTGCCCATCGTTTTGCTCTGCCCGCCTGGGAATCGAACCCAGGTCCTCTCGCTCACGAAGCGAGTGCTCTAACCATTGAGCTACAGAACTCCAGACTCAGCCTGACGAGACAGTGAGAAATGTCTAGAATAGCCGCATACTCTGGCTGATTTTATCGTGCACTTTCTCCCATGTAAATGTAAGCATCTCCCATGTGACTGCAATTGTTAATTTTCTCCAGACTTTTGAATAATGAGGCACCTCATCCTCACCTACAAGGCCATTCACGGCCTCGCTCCCTCCTACCTCTCCGACCTACTATCCCCCTACCTACCTGCCCGTACCCTCCGTTCCTCTGGCTCCGGACTGCTCCACATCCCCCGCCCCAACCGCCCTACCATCGGTGGCCGGGCCTTCAGCCTCTCAGCCCCGAGGCTCTGGAACTCTATCCCCCAGTGCCTTCGCCGCTTCCTCCCTTTCCTCCTTCAAGGCCGGTCTCAACAACAACAACAACAACAAGATTCCATTTATAAAGCGCCTTTCACGTCAGGAGGACGTCCCAAGGCGCTGCACAGTTGGGTCATGACCCGAGCAGGGGGGAAATGGTCAGGGTGAGGGGAGGGAAGGGATGGAGCGAGGAGGGGGAAATGGTCAGGGTAAGGGGAGGGAAGGGAGGGAGCGAGGAGGGGGAAGAGAGTCGAGAGGGGAGCTGAAGGCTCGGTCAAAGAGAAAGGTTTTGAGACCGGCCTTGAAGGAGGAAAGGGAGGAAGCGGCGAAGGCACTGGGGGATAGAGTTCCAGAGCCTCGGGGCTGAGAGGCTGAAGGCCCGACCACCGATGGTAGGGCGATTGGGGCGGGGGACGTGGAGCAGACCGGAGCCAGAGGAACGGAGGGTACGGGCAGGTAGGTAGGGGATAGTAGGTCGGAGAGGTAGGAGGGAGCGAGGCCGTGAATGGCCTTGTAGGTGAGGATGAGGATCTTGAATTCGATCCTCTGGGGGATGGGGAGCCAGTGGAGGCGAGCGAGGGTGGGAGTGATGTGGTCGCGGTGTCTGGTGCGGGACAGTACACGAGCTGCAGAGTTCTGAATGACCTGCAGTGTGGAGGGAGGTGGCGGGAAGGCCGGCGAGGAGAGAGTTCCCATAGTCCAGCCTTGAGGTGATAAAGGCGTGGACCAGGGTTTCAGCAGCGTGAGGGGTGAGGTAGTGCCGTAGTCTGGCGATGTTCCGGAGGTGATGGAAGGCGGTGCCAGTTGTGGTGCGGATGTGAGGGAGAAAGGACAGCTCAGGGTCGAACAAAACGCCGAGGTTCCTGACTGGCTTTGAGAGGTGGAGAGTGCAGCCTTGGATGCTGATGGTGTCAGCGCCTCAAGACCTTTCTCTTCAGCCGTGCCTTCACCTCGACTCTCGACTCTCTACCCCCCTCTTCGCTCCCTCCCTTCCCTCCCCTCACACTGACCATTTCCCCCCAATGCTCAGGTCCTGACCCAACTGTACAGCGCCTTGGGACGTCCTCCCGATGTGAAAGGTGCTCTATAAATGGAATCTTGTTGTTGGAGTAGGTGCTGATTCTGACCTCCCCTTCCATCGCTTCAGCCCAGCCTCTGTGCCCCTCCCTCCCCTCCAACCCAGCCTCTGTGCCCCGCGCATTAAACATTTCACCTCAAATATTGTGGTCTTTTACTAAATTGACTGAACGTTTGACTGATTTTTCGCCATCAAAATATACAATCAATTCACTTTACACTAAATTCTGTGAAGCGCTTTGAGACGTCTCGGCATATAAGGCACTATATCAAATGCAAGGATTAGTATTATTCTTCCATAATTAGTTACTTCTGACCATTTCTTAGGTCAGTTTCTGAACAAAAGGATATTGAGTAGATTGGTTGCTTTACAATGGCCAAAAAGCACAGATAGGGTGAATACCATCAGGATAGGGTTGCCTGGAATGCAGTGAATGTTTGAATGCACCAGCTGGGCTGGTTACTGTGGACTCACTCCATGCTTCAGGATTTATCGTTGGTAATGAATTATAGCGTCATTAAGTGTAATCCAAAGGAATTGCCACACATAGTATTTCAGTAAGAGCTGCTTATGCTGCTTTGCTGGTGGGTGTCAGATCCTGTGTCAGATTGATTATAATTACACTTTATAACCCCCTGAACACAAAACAATCAGGAATCTAGAACAGGTGATTCAGAGTAGCTTCAGCTATCATATCTGAGATCGAATGTCAGCCTGGCTCAGCTGGTAGCACTCTTACCTACAAGTCAGAAGGTTGTGATGGTCGAGTTGCTTTTTGGGGGTAATGATCCCTTCAAAAAACAAAATTTGGTCACTCAATCCACGACTGTCTGTAGGATGCTGCTGTGCGTTTTGCCCACAAAATACACAGTCAATTCACTTTACAGTATATTCAGTGAAGCGCTTTGCGATATCTGAAAGATGTTATCAGGTGCTATATCAAATGCAAGTATTATTATTTTTGCGGGTTTAAGACCTAGCTTGGGATTTTCAGCTCACCATGTGGGCTGACACACTGGTGTAGTCCTGGGGAGAGCTGTATCCTTTAGATGAGATGTTACACTGAGGTCTCCTGCCTGTTAAGGTGGTCATCATAAATCCCATGGCACATTTTGAATGATGAGGAGGTATCCTGACTGATGATGGATGGCTCAGGTAGAATTGGTCATTTAGATCATGGCTATTTGTGGAACATTGCTCTATGCAATTGACTGTTGCATTTGCCTACAAATACAGTCACTACACAGTACATATACAGTAACTCTTGTAACTTGAAGTGATAAAATGCTGTATCAATGCAAGGATTATTATTATTATGGGATGGTGTGTATGTTCATCTGTGAAAGGCGATATACAAATGTAATTTTGTATTGTATTTTTTAATACGACACGACATTCAGATCAATTTACCCTGTGGTCCCAGCACTTTGTTCTTTACAAAATCTCCTGTATATACAAACAAGATTTCTTAGCAGATTGCAGCCAATATCCATGACGTGGCTAGAATATTTGTGTCCTAATGTGTTGATCAGGCATCTAAGAACCTCAGACTGCCTCAGGCTATCAGCAACCGTGCATCAATACATCTGCTTGTCCCCGTGACAAAGTGCATAACAGGTGCTGGGCTCCTCAGAGACTTGTGTGAGTCATACGTACATCAGTGGGCTACGGATTACTTTCAATCTATTTTTGTAAGTGATACGTAACGGTAGCAAAATTAGTTACCGTGCCAGCTGGCGAGGGCGTGGCTGCGCCCTGCACCCCCACCGTGGTCTGGCTGGGTAACGTCATGTACTTCTGTCGATTTGTTTGTTCAGTAGTGAGTGGGGAAACACTGGAGGACACTGGAGCGGTAATGTTAAAAAAAAATACTGCAGATGTTGGAAATCTGAAATAAAAACCGAAGTGGCTGGGAACACTCAGCAGGTCAGGCAGCATCTATGGCGAGAGGAAAGTGAGTTAACATTTCACCTCGTGTTTTTCTCTCCATAGATGCTGCCTGACCTGTTGGGTGTTCCCAGCCACTTCTGTGTTTATTGCAGAGTGTCGTGTCCAGGCTTTGGCAGTCAGCGAGTGGCAGAATGTGGTCTGGTGTGAGCGCTTCTCACCTGTGCCATTGAGGCTGCAAAGCCGGGGTACATCCTAATCCTAACACTCAGCGAGGGAATATAAAGGGGACATAAACTCCTGATGCCCAATTCCTAATCAACATCACAAGAGGTCGGCTGCCTGCTCCCCTCGTGCCTGAGCTCTTCGGGGCGCTACCCCAAGGGAAGGGCACTAAACGCAAGTTGTTGTTGAGTGCAGGAATTCAGCCTGAGGGTGGAGACAGTCATTAATAGGCACCACGGTGTGACCTGACTGTAACCAACAGAATATATAAGCTGCATATCACATGCTTTGTTATGATCATTTGCGGAAGATTTGGTCAATCCCTACAAGAGGAAGGAAGGTCTACGGGGAGCGCTGCTGTTTATAGTCGTCCTATTGGCGCTGCTGTTTATAGTCATCCTATTGCTTTTTCGACCATTGGTGAAATATCATCCTGTTTTGATGACGTCTCTCCAGGGTGTCCTCTCTGAGGAATTCTCTCCCAGGTGAGGGGGCAGGGAAGGCGAACCTTTCTCTCCTCTGCCTGCCATTGGGGTAGAGGGGGGTTTGGGGCGGAGAGAGGAGCCACGTGAGCCCTGCTGGGACACGAGCCACAAGCTGCTCCGACTCCCGGTCACTAAGTCACATCAGTCTCACAAACCCCCAGCCAGGACCTCCACATAGACGTGACATTCTCTAGTTCTTTTGTGATGGTTTCACGCAGCCTGGGGAATGGTGCAGTACTGGAGCTAATTCCTAATTCCATTTACCCTCCCTATCCCCATATCCCTTAATCTCTCTATCCTTTAGAAATCTATCAACCTCAGTCTTGAATATGTTCAAGGACTGAGCATTATTATTATTATTATTATCCACAGCCTTCTTGGGTAGATAATTCCACAAATTCACTACCCTCTGAGTGAAGAAATGTTTCCTCAACTCAGTTCGAAAATCCTTAATCTTGAGACTATGACCCTAGTTTTAGATTCTCCAACCAGGGGAAACAGTCTCACAGCATCTACCCTGTCAAGACCCTTAAGAATCTTATAGGTTTCTATAAGATCACCTCTAATTCTTCTATATTCTAGAGAATATAGGCCTAGTTTACTCAACCAATCCTCATAGGTCAACCCCCTCATCCCAGGAACCAACCTAGTGAATCTACGCTGCACCCCCTCTAAGGTGAGTATGTCCTTGCTTAAATAAGGAGACCAAAACTGCACACAATATTCTAGATGTGGTCTCACCAAGGCCTTGTACAACTGCAGCAAGACTTCCCTACTCTTGTACTCTAATCCTTTTCCAACGAACGCCAACATGCCATTAGCTTCCTAGTTGCTTGCTGTACCTGCATACTAACTTTTTGTGACTGGTGTACAAGGACACCCAACTCCCTCTGAGCACCAACACTACCTAGTCTCTTCCCCTCTAGAAAATAATCCGCTTTTCTATTTTTACTACCTAGGTGAATAACTTCACACTTCCCCACATTATACTCCCATCTGCCACCTTCTTGCCCACTCACCTCGCCTGTCTATTTCCCTTTGCATTCTTCGTGTGTCGTCCTCACAGCTTACTCTCCCACCTATCTTCATATCGTCCGTGAATTTAGATATGTTAAGTTCAATTTCCTCATCTAAATCATTGATATAGACTGTAAATAATTGAGGCCCAAGCACTGATCCTTGTGGCACTTCACTAGTCACATCCTGCCAATCTGAGAAGGACCCGTTTATCCCTACTCTCTGTTTTCTTCCTGTTGGCCACTCTCCAATCCATGCTAATATATTACCTTTAATTCCATGGGCTCTAATCTAATGCAACAGCCTTTTATGTGTCACCTTGTCGAATGCCTTCTGGAAATCCAAATACACCACATCTACTGGTTCCCCCCATCTAAGTTACATCCTCAAAAAACTCTTATAAGATTTGTTAAACATGATTTCCCTTTCGTAGTCATGTTGACTCAGCCTAATCATGTTATGATTTTCTAAGTACCCCACGATGACGTCCCTAATTAAGGACTCTAGAATTTTCCCTACCACCGATGTCAGACTGTAGTTTTCCATTTTTTGTCTCCCACCTTCTTAAATATCGGCATTACGTTTGCAATCTTCGAATCAATGGGAACCATTCCAGAATCCAGGGAATTTTGGAAGATCAAAAACAAAGCATCCACTATCTCTGCAGCCACCTCTTTTAAAACCCTCGGATGCCGGCCATCAGGGCCAGGGGATTTATTGGTTTTTAATCCTATCAATTTCGCTAGTACTATTGCTTTACTGATGTTCATTTCTTTAAGTTCCTCACTAACATTAGCCTACAGGTTCCCCTCTATTTTCGGTAAGTAGGAACCCGGTTGTTAATTGACTGTCGGATCGCTTTTCCGGTGTAATAATCCCTCCCCCCCACTGCCCTAAAAGTATAATAATAATAATTTGGTTACTCAATCCACGACTGTTTGTGGGATGCTGTTGTGCGCAATTGGCTGCCGCGTTTTGTCCACAAAGAACACAGTCATGCCACTTCACAGTATATTATATTATTATTATATCTTGTGAAGCGCTTTGAAACGTCTCGATGACGTGATAAGGCGCAATATCAAATGCAAGGATTATTATTATTATAAAGGCATTTGGTGCTTCCTAACTCACTGGGGATTGTGCGCTAATAGGAGGTTGGCAAGAGAAAGATGAAACCTGAAGTGCATTACAACACATTTTCGCTTCCATATTTGTAGGAGAGATGAAGATGGGCCACTGATGACAGCTCAGCAAGTGTTCGAGGAGTTCATTTGTCAGCGCCTCATGCAGGGCTATCAGATTATTGTTCAGCCCAAGAATAAACTGTCGACTGCAGTTGCCTCGGCTCCCCTGAGCAGCAGCCCCCTCTACACACGTGGTAAGGAAATCCAAGGCTTGCTTGATCAAGCTGTTAATCCTTGTCTACAAAATAGACAGTCACTTCACAGTAAATCCTGTGAAGCGCTTTGAAACGTCTTTCTGATGCAAAAGACACAATATCAAATGCAAGGATTATTATTATTACTATTATTCCTTTAAAAAAAACGAAGGAAATTCCTTCAGGGGAATGGAATGATTTTGTAGAATCAGAATTATACAGCACAGAAGGAGGCTATTCGGCCCATCGTGTCTATGTCGGCTCTTTGAAAGAGCTTCCAAATCAATCCCACTCTCGGGCACCCAATGGCATTATTTGGACATCAAGCACTCCCAGATCAGGTACAGCACAGCCAGCGACACTAGGGAAGCCTCTCGGTTCTTCAGCAATTTCTAAATTGACGTCTCAAAGCGCTTCACAAAATATACTGTAAAATGGATTTGCAGTGTATTTTGTGGGCGAAATGCGTAGCAATATTAATTGCCGTTATTATTGATTTAGAATATTCTTTCAGATCTTATAGATAATAATAATCTTATTAGTAATAATAATAATTATTATTTTATAGATAATAATCATTTTATTATAATAATAATAATTATTATTATAGAGTGACTAAGTTAGCTCCCTGAGCTGCTCAGACCCCCATGTGCTCTTGTTTGTTTGTAGGTCTGGTGTCCAGGAACAAGCTGGAGGAGGAGATCCAATACTGGTTGAGTATGGGGCGCACTTTCCATAAGGTCTGCCTGAAGGACAAGATAATAACAGTCACCCGTTACCTGCCTAAGTGAGTGCGACATGTTTCATTCACCTCTGATAGACGGCATCTGTTTGTCATGTAGAGCAGTGGAGCCAACTCATTGCAGTGTTTGATGGGAGTCCCTTAGCTCAGTAGTTAGAGCACTCGCCTCGCAAGCAAGAGAACCTGGGTGTGTTTCCTGGGCTGAGCAAAGCGTTGGGCAAGTTTCCTTACTCCACACACTTCTGTTTACCCAGCAGTAAGTAGGAACTCGGTTGTTAGTCGATTGGCGGATCGCTTTTCTGGGGGTAATAATCCCTTCAAAAAAAAATAATAATAATTTGGTCACTCAATCCACGAATGTTTGTGGGACGCTGCTGTGCACAATTGGCTGCCGAGTTTCGCCCACAAAGATACAGTCAATTCACTATATTGTATATTCTGTGAAGCGCTTTGAGACGTCTAGAAGACATGATGAGGCTCTATGTTAAATGCAAGGATTATTATTATTATGGTGAGTTCTGTTGGAGAGCAGTGTAGCTGCAAGTAGCACACTGGCTCTCTGTTGGGGGACTGGGGGAGAGAGATTCTAACAGGACTTGACAAAACTGTAACCTGTGCCAATACTCTTGTTGATAATCGCTTTGCCTTGTGCAGGTACCCCTACGAATCTGCTCTGATCCAGTACAGCTACAGCCTCTGCCCACCGCACATCAGCACGGAGTTTGTGTCGTGCTGGGTGGAGTTCTCCCACGAGCGTCTGGAGGAGTACAAGTGGAATTACCTGGATCAGTACATCTGCTCGGCAGGCTCCGAGGACTTCAGGTACGTGGACATGAGCTGCCAGAGAGGCTGTGTTCTGCTGTGGGACAACAGCAGGGAAGATTGTGGAGCAGGTTGAGAGTTTACATTGTCAACTTGAACCCCTTCCCAAAGTGACTTGATGCCATCCTGCCTGAAGGGCGCTATGTTAATGCGAGTTGTTGTTGTTATTTTTCGCCCACAAAACATACAGTCAATTCACTTTACAGTGTATCCTGTGAAGCGCTTTGAGACGTCTCGAAGACATGATAAGGCACTGTATCAAATGTAAGGATTATTATTATTTAACCCAATGGTAAAGGCATTCTATCTGCTCGCATACGGTGCTGTTGTGGACACGGGAGCTTCTTTATAAGGAGGTCATTGGGGTGTCCATAAAATGCTAACCTGCCTTGTAACGAAGCTACGAGAGTTGGCGTCACTGTGTACGCACGGCCGGGTCAGCTTGTTTTCCCGCAGCAACCTTGCCGATATCACTTCCTGTGTACTGCCCGTGCACAAAACGGGAAGTGATGTCGGCAGCGATCTGATGACTGGGAAGTCAGCCATTTTGAGCACCCAGGAAGGCAAGATGGCCAACATCCGAGTCATCAGATCTCTGCTGACACCACTTCCTACGTGTTGCATGTGCAGAAAATGCTGGTGGCGAGTCTCAAATGATCCGGAAAACAACCATTTCAGCACAATAGTCACTCGGTGACCAGGAAGCACACCTGCGTCATAACCGAGTCAGAGCTATTAAGTAATGCACCAAAACACCCCAATATAAAATAGTTTTTTTTTGGTCACTGGTCAGAGCACGTCTCAAAGCACTTCACTCTCCACCTCACTAAGCCTGTCCGGAATCTTGTTTGACCCTCAATTAGTCACTCAATCCGTGACCGTTTGTGGGTCACTGCTGTGCACAATTGGCTGCTGCATTTCACCCACCAAATGCAGTCAATTCACTTTACAGTATATTCTGGAAAGCCAGGGGAGTCTGATGAGGATGGGGGTGATAGGGTCACGGATTCTGGTGCGGGAGAGGACATGGGCTGCAGAGTTCTGCAGCCTTTGGAGGGAGAGCTGGGGAGGCCGACAAGCAAGGAGTTTGCATAGTTGAGCCTGGATGTAATGAAGGAGTGTACGAGGGTTTCGCCGGCCTGCGGTGTGAGTCAGTGGCGGAGCCGGGTGATGTTGCGGAGCTGGGGAAAGGCAGAGCGGATCATGGCACAGATGTAGGGTAAAAAGGATAGTTGAGGGTCAAACAAGATGCTAAAGTTCCGGACTGGTTTAGCGAGGTGGAGAGTGAAATGCTTTGAGACATCCTCTGACCCAGTTGTAAGGATTATTCTTGTGTGGTTATTACTGTGAACATCGTCATGATTTGCTTTTGTCGTGTGGTGAATTACAAGGATTTTCTTGCTGTTCTCAGTTTGATAGAATCTCTGAAGTTCTGGAGGACCAGGTTCCTGCTCCTGCCGGCCTGCGTAACGGCTACAAAACGAATCATGGAGGGGGAGACGCACTGCGACATCTACGGGGAGAAGCTGCGCTCGGACGAGGAGGAGTGGCAGCTGCTGGACGGCTTTGTGCGCTTTGTCGAGGGTTTGAATCGGATCCGGAGACGGCATCGCTCGGATAGGATAATCCGGGTGAGGCTGCTTCCCTGTATCATCGCCACAAAGTCACTGACAGCCTGCGAGCTCGGGGGATTGAGCTGATCTCCTTTGACACACAGCCAGAGGTCGCACTTTGGAGTTCCAGGGCTGCCTGTCACTGGATCCTCTCTGCTCGCTTGACTGAGTCTCACCGGCTGAGTTTCTGGTGACGTTGATGCACTGAAGCGAGGAAAAGACACAATCAAAGAATATTACAGCACAGAAGGAGGCCATTCGGCCCATCGTGCCTGTGCTGGCTCTTTGGAAGAGCCACCGAATCAGCCCCACTCCCCCGCTCTTTCCCCATATCCTTGCAAATGTTTCCTTTTCAAGTTCCTATCCAATTCCCTTTTGAAGTTGTTATTGAACCGGTTTCCCCACCCTTTCAGGCCCTGCATTCCAGACCGTAACAACTCTCTGTGTAAAAACAATTCTCCTCGTCTCCCCTTGGTTCTTTTGCAATTATCCAAAATATATGTTGTCTGGTTACTGACCCACCTGCCAATGGAAACAGTTTCTCCCTATTTTCAGTGCAGAGGTTGGCCATTCAGCCCATGGGGTCTGAGCCACAAGTAACTCTGCTGTTTGGGGTGAGGTAAGCGGGGTGTCTCTGGCTGGGCCGGCTCCAATGTGAGGTGATTGCCATTGGATTGTCCGAATATTCCGAGTCAGCATCTGTGGTTCCTGAGCCAAGCAGCTCCAAGGCACAAACTAGACCGCCAGGCTTGTCAGCAGGATCCGAAGGGGCAAGAATTCTTCCCACTGAACCCCTACACATCAACACCCTAACGGGCAGGGTGGTCCTAAGAAGGACGAACAGCGGGAAGTTTGCCAGTCAGTGCTTTTAATGGTAAATGATAGGATTTTAACTGGTTAAGCTCCAGGAAAACCCAAATGCACCTACTGCAGTCCCCAAGCCTCTCCTAATAGTTTCTGGAATTAGGTAAGCAGGGAGGACCACTCCAGAGAGAGAGAGAGTGCATTCCATTCCAGACGCAGGGAAATGCAGCTGGCATACAAATGTGGAATCCAGACTGGTTTGGAAACATTTAAGTGTGGTGATGAGCCTCTGCCAGTGTCAGACACCAGGCCGACCACATTTTCTTTTAAAAAGTATTTTTGTCCCTAATTGTGGGAATATTCAGCAGTGGAGGGATGTGATTTTCGGGACGCTGCTGTGCACAATTGGCTGCCGCGTTTCGCCCACAAAATATACAGTCAATTCACTTTACAGTACATTCTGTGAAGCGCTTTGAGACGAATCGAAGACATGATAAGGTGCTGTATCAAATGCAAGAATTATTATTATTACAGAAAGGGGCCCCTATCAAAGGTCTGCAGGCGACCGGGCCTCTCTCAGGCTATCCCCCGGAACCGGGACCACCGCTCGGAAAGAAGGGAACCTCAGCTCTGTCGGCATTGCTGGAGATGGAAGCCAATCAGAAGTAAGTCCTGTTCCACCCTCAACTGGTTCTTTCCTCTGCGGGGGGCATGTGGTGCATGAGCGTGCAAACCAGAAGTAACACAACTATATCCAATAGAGTCACTCTGTATCATCTCCGATTATCCTTAAATTTAATGTTGAAAGACTTTAACTTTAGAACCTCACTGCATTCTTTCTTAACATCCTGGATCCCAGCTCTCAACCTTTCTGCTGCACAGCCCTTTCCACACCACAGAAGAAACATAGAAACAGGAAAAGGCCATTCAGCCCCTCAAGCCTCTTCCGCCATTCCGTAAAATCATGGTTAATCTGTACCGCAAGTGCAATTACCCTCCCTTGCCCCGTATCCCTTAACACCCTGACCTAAGAAATGGCTATCCACCTCAATCTTAAAGATGTGACTTGATCCAGATTTGGGGAGAGGGTTCCAGATTTTGGGGGAAAGAGTTCCAGATTTAGTACCTGTACCTCCAGCGCTGTACACCAGTCCCTAGTCTGTAATGTGGAATCAAGCCAAATTGTCTGATGTCCTTCAAAAGAATGACTGGATTTGACTCTCTACCCAAAGCAATAATTTTATGCTTCACCACCAAATGGCTGAGGAAAGAATGCATTTATTCTGATGAATCGGACTGTTGGGTAATAATAATAATAATAATAATCCTTGCATTTGATATAGCGCTTTTCACGTCAGGAGGACGTCCCAAAGCGCTTCACAGAACACATTGTAAAGTGAATTAAAGTAGAGGAGAAAATTGGTATAAATGACCATGATTAACACTGTTTCAATTTTGGAAACCCAGATTGACTTTTCTATCTCCTGTATGTGCTCAGGAGCTTTGAGGAGCAGCAGGCAGCTGTGCTTTCTGGGAAGAGTGCTGGCCCCCTGTCTGACGGCATGTCTGGGGGCAATGTTACCATCACACCTACCTACGTGGACAGCCCGAGGAAGGTAAATAATCACAGCCCCGTTACTCACATCTCACACATTTCAGCTTCAGTCTCAGGAATACCCTAACCCTAAACCAATTGAGCACCGTAACGTACTGCAATAAGTGTTCGTAAAAAGTCTCCATTTTTGCCAATAGGTTTTTAAATTGAATGCAAAAACGATTTGTCAAAGAGTTTGATTTCAGTCACAGTTGACCCATCTCATTGAGTTTCAACAGATGCGTGCAAATTAGAATTAAATTCTTCCTGACTCCAGACTTTTTGTGAACAAAAGAAGTAAAACCTCACAGATTTGAACTTCTTTTAACCTTGGTTCATTGATGCGAGACGGCACTGTGTGCTCTGTGGACGTGTGTATAGGAAACAGTCGCCATGCACAGGGTAACTCACTGGGACACTGTCACCTCGAGAACATTTGCACCTAATGCAGCCTCTGATCTCTCTACAAATGGCTTTTTTTTGCCATTTATTGGCTTTTCGTTCCTAGTGAGAAATTCTTTCTTTTAGTTGTGCAGAAATGTATTGCTATTTTCTTAATTCTCAAGAGTGGCAAAGGACAATTTTCGGATCGACACGAAATATTTTTTTACCCAGAGAATAATTAATGACTGGAATGGGTCACCGGGACGACTCCTTCAGCACAAGATGCTGACTTGTTTTTTTTTATTAAAAGAAGCGTGATTCTATAATGGGAGAATGGAGGGTGGTTTTCTGGAAGGATGAGATCAAATGGGCCAAAGAACCTTCTTCATCCAAACCAATCTTGTATCCTCCCGACGTGAAAGGTGTTCTACCAAATGTAAGGATTATTATCTTGTGACTTATTCCATATAGAAGGTTGCAGGTTCTTTGATTGGCACCACCTTTGACCACCACACCCTTCATTGATCACTGCCTAGTCATCCCAAACTCATAGTGAATGAGCCCATAGCTTCCTCCAAACAGCAGACAGATACTCTCAATGACCTGTTTTCATTACCTTCGATCATCACCCAACTCTCCATTGATCTGAAATCCCACCTAGTCTCATCCGTTAAGACCATTTTATCTTAAAATTTAAGATCAGACAAAATTGTGGAAAGTTCTTAAATTCATTCTTAATTTCATAGAATCTTACAGCACAGAAGGAGGCCAATCAGCCCATCATGCGTGTGTCGGCTCTTTGAAAGAGCCACCAACTAGTCCCCCTCCCTCCCCCACTCTTACCCCAAAGCCCTGCAATTTTTTCCTTTTTAAATACCTATCTAATTCCCTCTTGAAAGCTACTATCAAATCTGCATCCACCACCCTTTCAGGTAGTGTATTCCAGACTATAACAACTCTGTATAAAAAAAATGTTTTCGTCTCCTCTCTGGTTCTTTTGCCAATTATCATAAATCTGTCCTCTAGGAAACAGTTTCTCCCTATCTACTGTATCAAAACCTCTCATAATTTTGAACACCCTTGTTAAATACCCCCTCAAACTTCTCTGCTCTAAGAAAATAATCCCAGCCTCTCTAGACTCTCCACATAATTGTAGTCCTTCATCTCTGTTATCATTCTTGTAAATCTACTTTGCACCTTCTCCAAGGCCCTGACATCCTTCCTAAAGTGTGGTCCCCAGAATTGGACACAATACTCCATCTGAGGTCTAACCAGCGATTTGTTGCTGGTTGGAAGTTCAACATAACGTCTTTGCTTTTATACTCAGTGGCTCTATAAAGCCATGGATCCCATATGCTTTTTTAACCGCTTTGTCAACGGTCACCTTCAAAGAATTGTGTATGTGAACCCCCAGGTCTCTCTGTTCCTCTTTAAAATCTTGCCATTTATCTTATATTGCTTCTCCTCATTCCTCTTCCCACTTCACATTTCTCTGCGTTAAATTCCATCTGCCATGTGTCTGCCCATTTCACCAGCCTGTCTGTGTCCTCCTGTAATCTGCTCGTATCCCCCTCACTGTTTACTACATTTCCAATTTGGAAACTAAATCTTTTTAAGAACTGCAGAAAAACAGGTTCCAAGGTGAAAGATGCTTTGAAGAATTTTCCACAATTCTGCACGATCTTAAATTTTCAATCCAATGAATAAGTGATCACAAGTAAAAGTGAAACCTGATAAACACCAGGAGGAAAGGTATTGGAGGAGTAAATATTAATATGATTATTATTATTTAATCAATACAAGTGTAAGATGCTATTGTTGAGAGCATCTCCTCCCCGCGCCCCCATTGGAGACAGAACCCTATTGGTGTTAGTGGAGGAATCTTATGCAAGATTCCTAACGGAACAGGCTTGAAGGGCTGAATGGCCTATTCCTCTTCCTATGTTCCTACGTGCTGATTTGGGCTGTATGTTTTTACGTAGATTCTGACGTGATCCACCTCACCAGGTTTACTGGGATATTTCAGAACTGAGATTCCTGATTACTGATGACGTATGTCTGTGCACATTAGAGAACTGCCCCAGTTATCTGTGAACAGGAAATTCACTGGAATTGAAGCTGTCAAATTACCTATTCTAAAAATCATTGATTAAAAAGCTCTCTGTCCATGACCTTGACTGAAATTTTGGAACAGACTGCTATGGTTTGTGTGCAATAAATCCTTTTGAAGACATTTCTGGCTTGCCATGTGGTCCTGTAATTTATAGTGATCTTAGGCTTGTAAAGTTTCAGACTGACCTCTAATCCATTTTTATTGCAGTTTTAAGAGGAATAAATCAGCAGATGAAAGGAGAATTATTCATTATTTATTCCTGGATTATTTCCTCCTGATTTAAAACTCTTGATAAGCGCGCATACCCCTTACTTGTGTTCCCTGTGTTGGGAGCCTACTGAATGTTATATGTTAGCTCCGTTTGTCAGAGATCTCCACAAACACGCTTTAAATGTGTTTTAATGTTTGCTTTTAATGTGTCGCTTTCCCCTCTAACCTTGTGACTGTATGTGTTCTATGATGAATACTCTCCACCATTTATCTTTTCTGACGTCTCCGCTCCCAGGACGGAGCCTTCTTTCTGGAGTTTGTGCGAAGCCCTCAAACAGCAGCGATCAACTTCCTCCGGTGAGGTAAGAGAGAGAGAGGTGAAATCTCTTTCGGTCTCTCTCTCTCTCTCTCTCTCTCACTCCACCTCTCTTCCCATGTGCTTCATCCTTTTGTGAAAATCCTCATTGGTTCAAGGCGTTGTAGAAATGTTTTCAAATCTTCCATTGGGGGAATTCTTATTTGAAAATCGCTTTGTAACCTGTTGTGTCATGAGCGCTGACATGACAGAAACTCTCTGCTATTTGATGCGTAAGTTTGTATTGTTTTTGGGGTTTCCTCGTTTCTGAGATGAGTGACATGCTGGAGAATGGATTGTTTTTACCTCTTAGCATCCAGTGACCATGTCACGGGTTCCCTGCCCTTGCTTAATCATGCTCGCTTCAGAAATATCTAGGGACGATGTGATGGTCTGTGTTAGCACACAATGCTTTCATTTCTAGGACCGCTTGCCAGACAGCAATATCAGTGTCTCAGATACAGTCTTGACAGACGGACAAGATCTCCTCACTCTCTCTCTTGCCTGGAGATGTCCTGTGTGAAGTAAGCTTCTCATTCCAGTGTTATTGTTTATGCATCACAGCACAAACCTATTCTTCAATTGGAACTAAATTAGCAATTTCACTAAAAGGGCTGGTGTGAGAATGGAACAGTGCAGTCCGGATGCTTTCCTCAGATTAGGTTGTGTGGAGGAAGCGAGTGTTAGACACTGACACTGGCTGCTAGAAAGTGAAAGTTCCCATTCTCCAGCGAAAACATCCTTCTACTTGATGAGCACCAAAGAACTCGCTATAAACAAGTTTATTTATTTTTTTAAATTACTAATTGATTCCAACCTCCGTCCTCCCTGCTCTGTTACAGTGGGCGGAAACTCTGGCAGAGAGGATTTGAAGGTTGACAAGTTGCCTTTATCTCACCCTAACTACCGTTGTCTATTTAGCTGTTGATGTGAAAGGATCAATGTGATTTTACAGCTGCGTTAATCCTGTCTCTGTCATTCCAGACATGCATGCGTATGTAGTACTCAGCGTGTGTGAAATAACTGACCTCTAACAGCACCAGAAATGATGGCGTTTTGCTCATTAAACTTGTGTCCTCCTCAGTGACCCTTTGAGTACTGATCCAAGAGTTTATATTCCCAAATATTTTCTACGATTTAAAACCTGGTGAAATGACTTTCTCTTAAAACTGTGTTTCTTCTCCCCTCTTCTACTTTGGGGGAGGGGGGGGAGAGGTGAGTGGGATCACTGTGGAGCTGAACTGGCTCCAAGGTGACATGTTTGGCGACAGAATGTCAGAATCGAGGCAGCCCTCTGTGGCAGTCTCTAGTCCAGTTCCTGAGCCAAGTGGGTCCGCAGTATTCCAGGGCACTGCTGGTGACAGCACAGCACAGCCTGGCTCATCAGCAGGACCTGGAAGGGCAGACTAATCACTGGGAGTAGGGAGTCATCTCACTCAGCTCCTGCAAGCCATTGCTCCTAGCTCGACAAGCAGCGGAGCGGGAAGCTTGCCAGACAGCGATATCAATGCTAAGCTATGCTGTTTTAGTTGGTTAGACTCCAGCGGTTACCCCAACGCACACTCTGAGATCCCCAACCCTTGGCTCTTGCCAACCTGCGCCTAATACTCTCCGGAATTAGATGAACAGGATGCGACCTTCCAGAGAGAGAGAGATTCCAACAATCTATCTCTGGAATATCCATGTGTAGGTGGGATGCATGGAATTCTCAGCTTGGTTTGGAAACTCGTAAACATGGTGATGGGTTTCCGCATGTGTTATACACTCAGCTGACAAAATAAAATTTCTTCTCCCTTCTGGTTTATCCTCATTCCATTTCTTCGCGTGCCGAGATACCAGGTGTAGCTACACAGCCGAGGCTCAGAGACACATAGAGTCAACACCAGAGGTTCAGCCAGAGTCAAGAGACACCTTCTCCCTCCTCCCCTCACTTTCCCCTTCCCCGAACTTGGGACACTGAGGAATATGTAGTGCAGTCTTCCTGCCTAACTAGTTTGGCTAACCACACAGAGCAGAGAATGAATTGGGACTTTGCCCATTATATAATGCTCAGTCGTACACACATTGTTTTTGCCACTGAACCATCTCTGGAGATACCCAGAGAAACACTTTCTCGAGTTTTCAACATGGATTATCAGATCTAGAATTGGGTAACTGAATGGGATCACAGAATGTCTTAGACAACGGTATCCTTTCTTCACAGCTTCCAAAAGGTTATCTGGAGCTCCTTTCATTTGGATTCAGAAATCCAATTCAATTCTCAAAGGGGACCCGTGTGTGAAATTTCCCTCAATAGCTGCTCGCTTCTGTCAGCACGACGTTTAACACTTGAACATTCCTCATCATCAGTCACTCCTTTCAAATGTGTGGGGCTCTGCCTGCAGCCTGACTCTGACCGTTGCTTCCCCATAGATGGAGCATCGTATTCGGACTGGACATGTCCTGTTGCACTTTGGTTAAACTCCCAGTGCGAGCTGCAAGAAATATATAAGTCTATATTTACATAAATATATATAGTAAAAGGTTTTTCTTATCTTTGCCTCTTAGATTTAATAGAGGTTTTTTTAAAATCCTTAAGATGGTTTCGAATAAAATGACATTAAATCTTTTGAAACCACTCTTTTACTTTGGAAAGTAGCAACGTACTTTCAGGTAATAAAAATGTTTTGATTAAAAATTCTCCCCAACAGGTTTTGGATGCAGATTCCCAACGGTCTTGTCACTGATAATGATGCTCTGCCTGGGTTACTTCACTAAACGTAGTCCCTGTTACAAACTCCATGTGAAAAGTCCGTTCACGTCTGTTTCCACATTGAGCACTGGGATTTCCATCTGCCCGGGATAAGAGGAACATTATTGGTAAAGCGAGTTCTGTCTCAAAGTGTTTTCAACAGGCGGATTAATATTAGCTGCGATATTTTTTAAAACGGCTCAGAGATCATGGGGTAAGGAGTTGGCTTTTGTGTTGCACAGGTTCAGGGAGACTCATCAAGTGCTGATCATTCAGAGAGCGGCTCAGCCACAGCCAGCTCAGCTTCAACAGGGGATCGAACCAGCGCCACAGGAGGGGCTCAAGCTTCTGCTGCTGTCCCTGGGCAGGGTACAGGAGACCAGGGTTCTGCATCGGGCACATCGGAGGGCAGGTAAGGGTGTGGCCAAACTATCTAATAATGATTGTGACGGGCTTTATGACACCCTCCTGATGTGAAAGGTGTTATACCAAATGTAAGGACTATTATTTATTAGTAGTATATTTTCATTCTGAAAGCTTTCACCTAAAGGTCCTGCCAGGCACATGCAGGAAACAACGACACAACAGCCAGTGTGTGGGGACACCCGGGCAAAACATTGTGGTGTGAAGACTTGCATGTGTTTGCAATCATTGAAAATTTACAGCACAGAAGGAGATGATTCAGGCCATTATATCTGTGCTGGTATAGTCTCCCCCCCACCCTGGGAGATACCTGATCATATCCCATTCCCCTGTTCTTTGCCCCGGATCTTATTATAATAATAATAAAAACTGTGGAGTTTATAATACTAATAATCCTTGTATTTGCTATAGCACCTTATCACATCTTCGAGACTTCTCAAAGCGCTTCACAGGATTTTCTATAAAGTGAATTGACTGTATATATTGTGGGTGAAATGCGGCAGCTAATTGCGCACAGCAGTGTTATTTTCCCTCAAGTCCAATATTTCTTTGAATCAAACACTTCTTGTGTTGGTTTTCTCTGCAGCAGTCACCTGGCGTCCGGGATCGCCAACTCCCTGACCTCCTCGTCATCACTGGCAGAAATAGTGGAAACGATGAAGCATCCCACGTGAGTATTTACAAAGAAAAACTAGCTTCAGTGCGGTGTGTGTGGGTTTGTGTTATGTGTGTAGCTGTGTTGGTGTACTGGCTCTCAATCACTAGAGTAGTGGGTGATTATTTGGTGGAGGGGGTGGGAGGTGGAGCAGTTCCCAGTTAAAAGTTGGTTATGCACCAGAGAGATCTGGACAATGAGGGTTTCTCGTCTTACCTGGACTATTAGGTAAAATACCCCCCTCCCCACCTTCAAATCCCGCCTAAAGACCTTCCTTTTTGATAATAATAATCCTTGCATTTGATATAGCGCTTTTCACGTCGGGAGGACGTCCCAAAGTGCTTCACAGAACACACTGTAAAGTGAATTGACTGTATATTTGTGGGCAAACGCGGCAGCCAATTGCGCACAGCAATGTCCCACAAACAGTCGTAGATTGAAAATGACCAATTTATTATTGTTTTGTTTTGGAGGGATTATTATTAGGCTCTGTGTGGAGTAAGGAAACTTGCCCAAGGTTTCACCCTCTGCCTGGAATTGAACTCAGGTCTCTCGCTTGCAAAGCGAGTGCTCTAACCACTGAGCTACAGGACTCCACATGATGGTGCTTACGGTCACCTCCCCCCTCCCTCCTTCTCCCCCTGGCTCGGGGTCAGACTCTGCCACTGTCAAGCGCTCCAGGATACTGCCCTGCGTGAACGGGCGCTGTGTAATTGCAAGTTGTTGTTATTAATTAGAGAGTCACACAGTACAGAGGGTGGGGGGCAAGTTGGGGGCAGCTCACTCAAGCCAGGTGTCTCTCAACAGACCCCAGAATGGCTCTGAGGAAGCCAAGTGGCAACAGTGCCAGAGACCAGTCGGAAGCTATAAATGAGTGTACTTTGCAATTTATGTGCCACTCCCTCCCAAACTCTGCATTAACCAACTGCTGTAATAGAAAGTCACTGCACTTTATAATAAAACTGTAAAGTGCTCTGACATTTTGGGGTGTTGAGACACTGGGTCAGGTGCAAGAATGATGATGATTGTTATTATTAACCGTTGCCTATGTGAATTAAAGGGTTTTATTGGTTTTAAGAACAAAGTACAAAACGATTTTCAGAGTTGGTGTGAAAACATTTGAACAAACACTTGACTTAATGAGTTGCCGCTTGTCTTTGCTTGTTCTCCACACCCAGGACTGGGATTCAGTTGCTGCCGGAGCAAAGGGGCCTCCATCCCAACTGCTTCATCAGCGCAGAGGTGGTTCACTGGCTGATTAACAATGTTGAAGGTGTGCAGACTCAGCCGATGGCCATCGACATCATGCAGGTAAAGGCAGAGTTCTCAGAGGAGGCACGGCCCAGCCTGCTGCCCTGTAGCTAAGCCACTTCCTGATTATTATAATAACAATAATAATCCTTGCATTTGATATAGCGCCTTATCACGTCTTCAAGACGTCAAATGCAAGATTTATTATTATTCTATGTTACACATTTGTGTGTCTTTTCAGAAAATGCTGGATGAGCAGCTGATCGTCCACGCGTTTGGGGAATCGATGCGCACGTTTGTGTACGGCTTCTACTTGTACAGGATTGTCACCGATCGAGATGGAGAGAAAGGTGAACGTTAATAGTACTGGATGTTTGTGCGCAGTTCAGACTGTAGCAAATTAATAAGCAGCCGTGGAGAGATAACCATGATAGGAAATGGCTGAATATTAAGTATGTTAATCTTTTATATTATATTGCAAATTCTTGGCTACTTGTATCTGTTGTTGATTTTCCCCTCATTCCACCCCAACCCCTCAAAATCACTAAAGCTATTGAACTCAGTGCTCCTGAACTGTGTGTGGGTGTGTGAGCGAGAGTGCTACACTGGGTGTAAGAGAGAGAGAGAGAGAGAATGTGTAACATTGAAGAGGACTGGATCAGGCTCGGTTCCCAGCAAACCCTCCAGAGCTCCAACCAAGTAGAGCCTTGATCTTACCGTGGCTCGCGCTTATTGTCTCAATGTTTAACTGGTTGCTACCCAGTCGAGGGGTGAGGTATTTGAGGACATGTGTCCCCGGGTGTATTATATTATACCGTGTATCACCCGCGAGAGAGGAGGGCACAGAAGTGCAGGGTCAAAAGAAAAAGCTTATGTTACACATTGCCTGAACTTGTCTCTTGTCCAACAGGAAATGTGCAGTCGTCAACCATATGGTACACGTCCACAATGGACGACTTGGCGGCGTTCCAGCGTAAATGGTTTGAAGTGGCCTTCGTCACTGAAGAGCGGCTACACAGCGACATTCCTGCCTTCCTCTTACCTTGGCTGCCCAGTAGGCCAGCCTCCTATGCAAGTAGGCACAGTTCCTTTAGCCGCAGTTTTGGAGGACGAAGCCAAGCCGCTGCTTTACTAGGTAGATGCGCAACACAGGCAGCAGCAGCAGAGGGTCAGGGTCTGCCAAGAGAATGATTTCATGTGGATGGAAGCCGGGGGGACCTTTACTGTTCTCCACCTCAGCCGCTTGGGCTGGATGTTTATTGTGAAGCACTTTGATAAGGTGTTCTATCCAATACAAGGATTACTTATGATTATTATTATTATGATGATGATGTGTCTGCTTCACAAGGCAGTACTTTCTTGTCTACTCGGACCTCCTGGAATCTGGATCTCGTCTCATGTGGATTTTTGTGTGTGTACAGTGAGCTTCGCAGCTTTTGTTACTGGAGAAAACTTAGACTGCCCCAGGGTACATGTTTTTTAGGCTCAAGCCTTTGCGATCTCTTAGTAAGCAGACACGAGGGAGAAAGGACCAGAGGTTTATGGGAGGGAGGTGAATACTGGCACGGACTAGTTGGGCCAAAGTGACCTGTTTTGGTGCTTCATAGATTATTTAATTCTATGGGAGGGAGTCTATCGTGTTAAAGACAGGGTGACTCAAAGACTGGGCTAAGATTACAAACAATATTTCCTACAAAACACTTAACGATATCCACAAAAAGCAAATGTAAGGTGAATTGAGACATAGGAGAGAAACAGTTATTCAAACTCCCAGATTATTTTAACATGGGTGAGTGTTCTAATAGGAAAATGGGGAAGAGCGTTGAGGGAACTCTTGTTCTCTTGATATTTGTCATAACTTAAATATATTTATTGTAACGTATGTTTACCATACAGGCGATCCACCAGAAAGCATTGAGCTTAAATACATTGAGATCTTACAGTAAGGATTCCTGTATAGAAAGATTCACTTAAAGCCAGGAATTCACCAGCTTTTTGTTTTGAAAAAGCAAAGTGGTCACAAAGAATTGCAATTAAGATCTTGTGTTAAAACCAATCGTTTCTGTCAACCTGCTGAGGTTTGGGTTTAGAATAAGGACAGCATTTGTTCAGGAACCAAAAGCTCCCTGTGGAACAGACTTTGCCAAATCAACAATAATAATAATAATCCTTGCGTTTGATATAGCACCTTATCACGTCTTCGAGACGTCTCAAAAGTGCTTCACAGGATACACTGTAAAGTGAATTGCCTGTAGATTTTGTGGGCGAAACAGGGTGCTTCTGCCAGTTTCTGACCAGTAAGCTTTACTAACCATAACTGCTTACAAAATGCTCATCGTGATTTTTTTTTAAAAAAGTTCACATTTCAAGATGGCAGTTTGCTAAAAATCCATTGCAGATGTCCACTTTCCAGCTAACGCATTATATCTCTATATCTGAGCCCAAGCTAGCAGGTCATCCCCATCGCAGCTTCCGCTATAAATGCAACATGTCCACGTGAAATCATTGGTTTCCCTCTTGGAGCTCGCGGGCCGTCTCCCTCGCTCAGCCTGTGATGTGAAATTGCGTGTGTGTGTAACGTGGAGCTCAGGAACAAGCTCATCTCCCACAATCAACCAGTGAAATCAATACCTTCTTCGTATTAATACTGATTCTAGTCCCTAGACTATCCTGCATGATTCCCCTCCCCTTTAGTATGCAGAATGTAAGAAATGACGGGACCTAACATGCTCTGGTCACCAGCCCTGGTAAATGTTTACACTTGTTCTTATAACCATGATGTTTCAAATTCACTGGAGGCCACATAGGGTTTTAGGACCCATTTGTAATCTCATGAAGATCACAGTCTTCACTGATCATAATGGATTCTTTCAATGCAGTCCCTGTGTGTGTGTGTGTGTGTGTGTGCGCGAATGAGTGCTTGCTGAGAGTGAGACTCGCTTTATGAATTCTTTTCTCACCAGCCCTTTTCCTGATTTAGTTACAATTCAGTCTGGAGTGCAGGTAAGTGTCCAGTTTCGGTGCTGCACTGAATGAAGGGGTTCCAATGAGGAGCCTGTGAGTGTGTTGTGTTTCCAACAACTCTCTCTCCATTCACATGGTAATGATATTGAGGCCCCTACAACTGGGACAAGATCAGTAAGCTGGATCATAGAATCATAGAATATCACAGCGCAGAAGGAGGCCATTCGGCCCATCGTGCCTGTGCTGGCTCTTTGGAAGAGCCACCCAATCAGCCCCACTCCCCCGCTCTTTCCCTGTATCCTTGCAAATTTTTCCTTTACAAGTATCTCTCCAATTCTCTTTTGAAAGTTGTTATTGAATCTGTTTCCACCAGACTTTCAGGCCGTGATTCCAGACCATAACAACTCTCTTGTGTAAAATAATTTCCCCTCATTAATTAACATTAAGATGTTAATGTTATTACAAATACCAAACCTTGATAATTTTTTACACATATATAAATACCGTATTATATATTGTGGTTTGCACAGTTTAAAATATGAAAATAACCCCCCACTAATGGCAGCTCTGCAAAACATTGTGCAGACAATGATCTGATCTGAGGTAACCTGGATCTGCTTTGAATTTTCAATTCCACTTAACAGAAAGTTAGGATAAGATCCCAACATAAATCATTCTACAACATCCATTGGGTGACGAAGAGAATGTTCCTGTGAATGTGAAGCGTTTTGAGGCGTCTCGAAGGCGTGATAAGGCGCTATATCAAATGCAAGTTTTATTATTATTATTTAATGTAAAAGGGAAGTTATACTGAAAGATTTTCTGAAACTTTTTTTTAAAACATCAGTTTGGTGAAAAGACATGATGACTCGTTCACCTTTTTGATCTGCGTGGAACAGACTAAGTGGCTGAAGAGGTCCTGGGTGTGAATGTTCACAATGATCCCAGTCACCCAGGAACGCTAAATCCATAGCACAAAACTGCCCAGAGTTTACATCAGACATCACGAAGAGGAGCTTCATGCAGAACTGATGTGTTTACTGGGAGGAAAATGATACCTTATGTTATTGCAGCATTTAGTCTATTCTGAACCCTGTTATTATCTGTGTAGCCTGGCTGGCACAGAACCACTCTTTTGCATTTGTGTGAGTGTAATTGCATGTGAGCAGCCTCTGATTTCTACTTCACTTTTTAATTTCTCCCGTGTTTATTTGACCTTCCCCTGGACACACGTCAGTCCCTAGCTATTGGTGCTCCGGGTGTTAGCTTTAGAAGAGAATTCTGGTCTTGCTCATTGTCTAGACATCCTTCTTGCTCTTCCCACATCCTCGACTGTCCCAATCAACACAACAACAACAACTTGCATTTATATAGCGCCTCTCTCACAAGGTAGCGTCCCAGAGCACTTGACAGTGGCGGAGCACGACACCGAGAGGGGGGAGGTGACCATTGTAGGCACGGTCGGAACAGGACGGTCTTCAGGCACGACCTGAAGATGGCACAGCGGTAACCTTCATTGCAGATTGGTGACATCAGCTCTCCCTGCCTCACTCTGTGGGAGCACCAGTGTGTGATGTGTGGATGGATCTCAGCCTAAAGGCAGAACAGCGCCACGTCTGAGATCTCAGCTTTGTGTTTGTTAAATTGTGGAATGAATCCAGTCACACTCTCCTGGTGCCGTTCCAATAACTGCAAGACAATTTGAGTGTTGCCCATGGTTTGACTTCACGATCCCTCATTCATGCATTAAATAGTAATAATAATAATCCTTGCATTTGATTTGGGGCTTTATCACGTCTTCGAGACGTCTCGAAGCGCTTCACAGAATATACTGTAAAGTGAATTGACTATATTTGTGGGCGAAACGCAGTAGCCAATTGCGCACAGCAGTGTCCCATAAACAGTCATAGATTGAATTGACCAATTTATTGTTAGTTTTTTTGAAGGAATTATTACCCCCGAAAAAACTAACTAATTGACTAACAGCCGGGTTCCTACTTACTGCTGGGTAAACAGAGACGTATAGAGTAAGGAAACTTGCCCAAGGTTGCGCCCTCCCTGGGAATCAAACCCAGGTCTCTCACTTGTGAGGCGAGTGCTCTAACCACGGAATAAATGTTATTGTTAATAGTGTGGAGATGTTTGAATATTAACATTCCTAGCTCTTCAAACAAAATACATTATGATTTTAATTGCCCATATTTCTGATCGAGTTGACTGTTTAGAATCTGTGCATGAAATCCACAGGAGTAATGGCTGAGTACTGTGGTACCTAATAGCTCATAACATGTAGACAGTATGAAGGCGGAGAGTGGATGCACATCCAGACATGTTTTCGTATTGATTTTCTTTCCCCCTCTCTCTCTGTCTCTCGCCCTCTCCTTCCCTTGTAGCGGCAACGGTCCCCGAGCAGAAAACGGTGACTCTGGATGTGGATGTAAATAATCGCTCTGACCGGCTGGAATGGTGCAGTTGCTATTATCACGGGAACTACTCATTAAACTCTGCATTTGAAATCAAACTGCACTGGATGGCGGTCACTTCAGCCGTCCTCTTTGAGATGGTATGTGTGATCAGGCCTTAACTAGCTGGGGAATAGCCTAACACACAAGCGATGATTTGAGGGTGAGATGAACTGAGATTGTTTATGTATTAGATTGCTGAAGGCATTACTGACCTAGATAGAGAGTAACAGCTGAGGGGACAATAATACAGTGCTCAAAAGCACATTCAAAAGGTGTGTTGTGTGTTTGTTGAAGTACTTTCACTGTGTTTTCCTGGAATAAATTTGTTTTCAAAGAGATGAGAAATGTTTACAGCAGATTGTAGCCCCGTGACATCTGCAGGCAGTAGTTTCTGAAGTGTTGCAATCAGTTGAAAAACAGCACAGTATTTTTGCCAAATTGCTCCCATCGTTTGTTGCCAGGATGAGTCAGGTATCAAAGAGTAAAAGCATTTTTAATTGGAAGGTTTCCTATTTCCTGGTCTCCCAGGGTGATTGTCACTTCAAATCTGACTGGTTTCCTCTTGGGCAATGACTTGGTGTCTGTCTGCTCAGTGCTTCAGCACAAAACCAGGAGCATCAAACATCGCATTATACTCTTCCCGTTATATGTTCATACCAGATTGTGGGTGGGGGAAGGGAAGAAAGGTTGAGTGAAGCATTCATATTGTCACGCTGATTTATCTATCGTGTTCTGAATGTTAATCATTCACATTTCAGTGAGTTTGTTGGCAGTCGTTCAAATATACATTAGAGGAAAAAAGTTCTGCAGATAGGAATGTGAGGAACGGAAGAGAAAATATGAGGAGGATCTGGGTCTCTCCATTGAATTTTCTCCCTGAGATAGATGACACTTGCTTGAAGGATCCTGTGTGGATTCTATCCCAAAGGCTTGCTGAATTGAATAAATAAATGTTCCTGTTTATGCACCATCTCACATCGATCAATAAAGCTGAGAAACTGAAAACCAGAAGCAAACAATGACAAACCACATTTGGGGACTGAGGAGCTGTAGCTGTGAAGACTCTTGTAACCGAAGTGGGAAAAATGCAAAGTGAAACTTATTTGCTTTTTGTCCCCTTTATTAATCCAAGTCTTTCCCTCTCCCTCTACCAGGTGCAGGGCTGGCACAGGAAAGCCACTTCTTGTGGGTTTCTCCTGATACCTGTCCTTGAAGGTCCATTTGCACTCCCAAGTTACCTGTACGGAGACCCTCTACGAGCTCAGCTTTTCATCCCACTGAATATTAGCTGCTTAGTGAAGGAAGGCAGTGAACATCTCTTTGATGGTAAGTGAATCACCGAAATATCGAAGGTGTAATAATAATAATAAATATTAAATAATAATCCTTGCATTTGCATCCGCCAATCGACGAACACTGGGTGCCTACTTACTGCTGGTAAACAGAGGCGTGTGTATGGAGTAAGGAAACTTGCCCAACATTTCGCCCTGTCCAGGATTCGAACCTGGCACCTCTCGCTTGCGAGGCGAGTGCCATAGCCACTCAGCTACAGGATTCTGCAAAACAATGCCCTATGCACAGGAATTAGACATTTTGAACAATTATATAATGGGGATTATCAAGCAGGTGAATCTGGTTGTATAGTACAAAAGTAACAGATAAAACCATTAACTTTTATCAGCACAATTGAAACAGTAAAACCTTCGGAGCAATCTCCTGCATGTCTGTTAGTACAACAGTATTCAGGGTTCTGAAGGGACAACACAAGTGTAAACTGGCCTGAGGGGTTAGATGCCTCCTCTCTGTCTCTGTACTGACTCTGTCACTGACAACAGGCAACAGCAGTGAGTCGGGAAGATATTTAACTTCGAGGCATCACAGCTGAGCCTGAAGCTGTCCTCACCACATGTTCTCATGTGCACACATTCCAGTCGGATCATTGAGTAGCTGAGTTTCCGCCTGGGCTACTGAGCCAGTTGTAACACTCCTGCCTGGTTGAACTGAACTAGTTCAGCACAGACCGTGAGTATTTACTCAATGAGTCACCAGACGAAACTGTCTTTTATATAAAAATATATTTACTGCTTCTAACTTTCTAACCTTTTCTTACTATCTCTCTCCTCTGAAGACCACTGGCTCAGTGGTTAGAGCACTCACCTCACAAGCGAGAGACCTGGGTTCGATTCCTGGGCAGGGCCAATCGATATGCAAGTTTCCTTACTCCACGCGCCTGTGTTTACCCGCAGTAAGTAGGAACCCACTTGTTAGTCAATTGACGGATCACTTTTCCGGAGGTAATAATCCCTTCAAAAACAAAAAAATTTGGATCGATTTCAAAATCATCTCTGACCTCCTTACACCTCACTCCAACACCCACTCCCTTCACTAGACTGACTCCGGCCTCCTGTGTGTCCCGCGCCCTCACCCCCTCTTCTCTGTGATCAGCAGCCATGCTTTCAACCACACTGCCCCCAATCTCTGGAACTCGCTGCCTCGATTCTTCAATCTTGCCTCCTCCTTCAGATCGCATCTGAAACTCGACTTCCTTGACCAAGCCTGTGCTTATCCTCTTTAGACTGCAGACCCATGGCAGTTCTTCTCCGGTTTAGCTTTGAGCTCGGCCGTTGTTAATGCCCTGAGCCACCGCCCGCCCACCTGAAGGGCGTATTATAAATACAGTTTGTTATTAGAATGAGTTTTAGTCTTAGAGAGAATCCATCATTCTCCCACAGCAGGAAGGCACATGTGGGAATGTATAATAATAATCCTTGCATTTGATATAGCGCTTAATCCCGTCTCAAAGTGCTTCACTGAATATATTGTAAAATGACTTGACTGTATATTTTGTGGGTGAAACAGGCGGCCAATTGCACACAGCAGCGTCCCACAAACGGTCATGGATTGAGTGACCAAATTATTATTCTTTTAAGGGATTATTACCCCCAGAAAGCAATCCGCTATTCGATTAACAACTGGATACCTACTTACTGCTGGGTAAACCTAGGCATGTGTGTGGAGTAAGGAAACGTGCCTAAGGTTTCCCGCTGCCTGGGAATTGAACCCAGATCCTCTCACTTGCAAGGCCAGTGCTCTAACCACTGAGCTACAGGATTCCTAATATGACTCGAGCAGTGATCAGAATTCTGGTCCCGATCTGAATGGTTCTGCTCTCCAGCTCCACCTGCACTCAGTTGTTTTATGTCTGACTCCTGCTGATCTGTTCCTGTTGTTGTAGGGTTTGAGCCGGAGACGTACTGGGATCGGATGCAGCTTTTACAGGAAGCCATAATTGCCAGGTGCAGTACTCCCAAGATGGTTGGAGGGCACGGAAAGAGGTCCTTACTCAACTGTAAACTGTTTGAACAAGAAACTGACGGCCCTTTTTACTGTTAATCAATGTGTGTTTAGCTAATCAGCCCCGTGGACAATACCTTTAGAATTCACCCTTTACCGATCATCCTCTATACTTTTAGAGTTGGCTTTGGCCTTGTTGCCAAAATACAGAGCTGAATGTGTGCTGCTCTGGCCACCTGTAATAATAATAATCCTTGCGTTTGATATAGCGCCTGATTGCGTCTTCGAGACGTCTCAAAGCGCTTAACAAAATGTACTGTAAAGTGTAGTGACTGTATATTTTGTGGACGAAACCGTCCATGGAGATCTGCAAAAGAGAATTTCAGATTGGTTGATTTTTTTTCTGGTCTATCTTTGCCCCCCTGCCCCCATCCCACACACCCTCGCCCACACTCAATGAATGGCAAGCTCCGTTTCCCAGAGAATCTGGACAGACACCAAACAACAACGCACACAAATTGCTTCTCTGAGGCTGAGCAACTCTGTGCAAAATGAGGAGGAAGAGGAAGGCATCGGGTGAATGTGTGAGGGTACATGAAGCACACATGTGGAACCACTGGTCATATTTTCACTGTATCTGTATAGAAGAGGGAGGATGTACAGGAAAGGAGAGATCACAACACAAAAGCGTAAATACCGCAGACGCTGAAAACCTGAAATAAAGACGGAAGTCACTGGGAATACTCAGCAGGTCAGGCAGCATCTATGGAGAGAGGAAAGTGAGTTAATGACTCAGGTCGATGACCCTTGGTCACTTTCCTCTCCCCGTAGATGCTGCCTGACCTGCTGAGTATTCCAGCGATTTCTGTTTTTATTTGAGGGAGAGATCATGATGTATTGTTTTCTTTTGTTCCAGGTTTGGGTTTATCCAAGACAAATACTCCGCCTCAGCCTTTAATTTCCCAGCGGAGAATAAGCCGCAATATATCCATGTCACAGGTGAGTGCCGGTACATGGTGCGGAAGCAACAAATAAACAAAGGCACCGAAATATCATTGGCAGAACTTGCTAATCTGCAGCTTTTGGAACTGGGGACAGGAGCAGAATCTTGCTTCCCAGAGCATATAGAATTATACAGCACAGAAGGAGGCCATTCGGCCCATCGTGCCTATGCCGGCTCTTTGGAAGAGTTGCCCAATCAGTTGCCCACTCCCCGCTCTTTCCCCATATCCCTACAAGTTTTTCCTTTTCAAGTACCTGTCCGATTCCCTTTGGAAAGTTGTCACTGGATCTGTTTCCACAGCCTTTCAGACAGTACATTGCAGACCATAACAACTCTGTTGAATTCCAAACTGTAGGAGAGAGATCAAGCTTAGGTTGGCTGATACACTGCTGAAGAGAAGAAAGACTGAGTTGGGCAGTTTTGAGGTTCTGGGTAAGAATGAGAGTGGAAACTGGACTCTGCAGGTGTGATCACTGTAGGATTAACACGTTTCGCACACAATACAGTCAGTTCACTTTACAGTATATTCTGTGAAACGCTTGGAGACGTCTCGAAGACTTGATGAGGCACTGTAGGAAATGCGAGGATTATAAATGTGTTCAGGATAGATCCCTGATATCCTATATTTGGATACAATCCCTCGTATTCTATTGAAAACGTGTGGCACCTCTGCAGGCAGTGGTTTAATCCCAGTTGTTGTCTCCCCACAGGCACTGTGTTCCTTCAGTTGCCGTATTCCAAACGCAAACTGACGTCTGGGCAGCAGCGACGACGCAGGAACTCCACCAGCTCCAGCAACCAGAGCATGTTCGGGGAGGAGAAGATTGGCCTCAACTGGGCCTACAACACCATGCTGACCAAAACCTGGCGATCGAGCGCTACCGGGGACGAAAAACTCACCGATCGTCTACTTAAAGACTTGACGGACTTTTGCGCCAACAGAGACAATCGTCTGGTGACTTTCTGGGAGAGCTGCCTGGAGAGGATGCATTCCAGCGCCCCCTGATACAACGGACATAACAGTGGAAAGGAAAGGAAAGGAAAGGGCGGTCATGCCAGCAAAGCTCGTCGTCTCACTGCGAAATGCCATGCATCTAACCTTAGCCATCCACGGTCTGCCCGCTGCCCACTATGGCCATGGTCTTAGATGGCAATCCTGCGCGGCAACAGTCTGTGTGAAACAGCTTACGTATTAACTCACTGACAACTGATATCCTGCCCTGTCGTGCTTTACCAAATAATTAGTTATGCTAACAATTCAATTATTTATATTTTCTCAATTTCAGTAAATTGGTGTGGAATTGTACAGATCAGCAGAGTAACCACTTGCTGGTGTTCTGCTTGTTAAACATCTTAAACATTGCAGCCTTACAAAGCCTCTGTTTACCTCCTTTTGTGTTGAAATTTCCCCAATTCTGTGAATACAGGGCAAAACATTGGGCAAGTTTCCTTACTCCACGCGCCTCTGTTTACGAGCAGTAAGTAGGAACCCGGTTGTTAGTCGATTGGCGGATCGCTTTTCCGGAGATAATAATCCCTTCAAAAAAATAATAATTAATTAGTCACTCGATCCATGACTGTTTGTGGGACGCTGTTGTGGCAATTGGCTGCTGCGTTTTGCCCACAAAATATACAGTCAATTCCCTTTACAGTATATCCTGTGAAACGCTTTGCAACGTCTCAAAGACGTGATAAAGCGCTGTATCAAATATAAGGATTATTATTATTAAAAAAAAGGTTTCAATGTGAATATTTAAATGACAGACGGAAGCCATTATTTGCCGAGGCTTGTTATACAGAACAAGTTTGTTAAACCCTGTAGTACAAAGCACTGATTAGGGCAGAATTTGCATGAGTCTCACAGATTATCAGTTACATTCTGACATAGTTCAGAAGATAAATCCTGTTGCGGAAGAATGACGTAACCCTTAGCTTTGTAATCATTTAGGTTTGACTGATCAGAAAGGTTAAGGTGTGAACTGGGCTAATGACAGACGAGCTCTCGTTTTAGCAGCAGATGTGCGTAACACACAGCTCCCCTTTATGCACTTTGTTTGTATTTATTTGATGGATCGTGTGCTAAAGTCTTCCCTTCAACCAGTTTGATGTGGGAGGGAGCAGACCGGACACGGTTCGGTACATAGATTTTTCCAAAGGAATTTTAAAAAGATCAACTTGATTGGCAGTGGTGATGAACCCATCACTGTCAAATGGTGTTTTTCCTGAAGAGGTGCAATGCTTTCCTCAAACGGTTTAAACTCAGTCCCGATTATTCCTGAATCACTGCTCTGGGCCTATGGAGCTTCCCTCAGTTAAGCTGTGTTTTATGACGCTGTTAATAAGATGGCTACAATTTGATAATATGGAACAAATGAAAATAGTTTCTCTTTCTCCCCTCCCCTCCTCTCCTCTCCCCTCCTCTCCTCTCCCCTCCTCTCCCCTCTCCTCCTCTCCCCTCCTCTCCCCTCTCCTCCTCTCACCTCCTCTCCCCTCCTCTCCTCTCCCCTCCTCCTCTCCCCTCCTCTCCCTCCCTCCTCTCCTCTCCTCTCCCCTCTCTCCTCTCCCCTCCCCTCTCCCTCCTCTCCCCTCTCCTCCTCCCTCCTCTCCCTCCTCTCCCTCTCCTCCTCTCCCCTCTTCCTCTCCCTCCTCTCCCTCTCCTCCTCTCCCCTCCTCTTCTCTCCTCTCCCCTCCTCTCCTCTCCCCTCCTCCTCTCTCCCAATAAAGTTTTGTGTGGATTCTGCTTTCTTTTATATGTTCCGGTTGCTTTCCATATTCTCTTGTTGATCTTTTGTAATACACGAAGTGAAAGCACATTGATCACCCTGTTCAGTTGTACTATAACTATAAATGAATTCGAATGACTGTTTTCTTTCACTTAAATTTTACAGGATTTTATCCTTTTGTTTCCTAGAATTCTGTTCAATACAAAGCGTTTTACACAGACTGAGCCGAAGCCGTAAGCAGGAGGGGGAGGGGAGGAGGCCCCCAAAACATTTCTACTGGTACCATGTCCTATGGGACATGTTGGACGGTTATGAGATCAAGCCACACATTGGGGATTTGAGCTCACATTCTAGCCTGACCCTCCAGTACAGTGTTGGGGAATCAGCTTATCGAGCGAGAGGTCCTACCATTGTACCATGACAAATTGTATGAACATTGATATAATTCTCTTTCTCTTCAGCCGTGCCTTCAGCTCGACTCTCTACCCCCTCCTCGCTCCCTCCCCTCACCCTGACCATTTCCCCCCAATGCTCGGGTCCCGACCCAACTGTCCAGCGCCTTGGGACGTCCTCCCAACGTGAAAGGCACTCTATAAATGCAATCTTGTTGTTGATAGTGAATGTTGGTGAGCGACTGACGGTAAAGACAGAGCATCACAGGTGAGACTCTTCACTTGGACTGAAACTAATTCTTGGAATTGTTGAAACATAAATATTTTATTGGGTTTTTTTATACACTGTTTTCGAATCTGAGATGGAGGGAGGTGGAGGGATTTGGGAAGAGAGTTCCAGCTGAAGGCTCACTAGTTGATGGCGGGTGTGGGGAGGGCAAAAAAAAGAAAATCGGAGGAGAGGGACTTTGACCTGAAACAAACGGAGAAAATTTGATGAAAGTCGGGATTTTGGAACATCAAAAGCTCAAGAAAGAAAGACGATTGCTAATAAAACAGATACTAGCCTCATTGTGGATAAGCAATCTGCAATGACCCATTTTTTTATCTGGGGGCTTGTTGGCCAGGACACTGGCAGAAATCCCATTCTCCTTTCAAATAATGTCGTGGGATCTTTAATATCCACCTAACCTGGCACAGATAGGACCTCGGATTAACGTCTCATCCAAAAAGATAGCATCTCCGACAATGCAGTGCTCCCCAACCCTGCACTGAAATGTCAGCGTAGACTGAGCTCAAATCCCCAACGTGTGGCTTGAGCCCAAAACCTTCTGGCATGTCCCACAGAAATGTAAAGCACAGTAGGAAGCCAGTTGGCCCTTTCTCTCTCCTGGTGTTTGCTCTATGGTCCCGAGCTCCCGGGATGCAGTCGAGGGCTTTCCTTCAGCCCAATTGTGAGGTCCAGGATGAAGCAGTGAGGGTTTGTGGTAAAGTGGGGAAGTGGCGCAGGAAGGGAGGGCTCTGGGCTGCACCAACCTATTGCTGAACACACGAGAGGTGCAAATAGCTTTATGATGGGCACATTGATTTGCCAAAGCCCCTCATGTGAGGACCTGAATTAAGCAAGTGATTTTGAGTAAACCAAGTCTGTGTTCGACTTGGACCTGTATGGAGCAATAAGGTTCCAGCACATCACAAGCTGTCGGTCTTGTGAGGGTCCACTGAAGGCAGATATCTATCTATTAGTTGATGAGGAAACTGAGGCTTGGGATAATAGTTGTTAGATGCAATACCTGGAGGTTTGTGGTTTGTGAACACACTCCTATATCCGGGGACAAACTGTAAGAGATTTTTTGAGCACTTCCCAATGGCTTAGTTCTTGAAATTGTTCCTACTGCCCTATTATAGGCTGTAAATGCAGCATCTATCCTTTGAGGCCAGTGTACAACAACAACAAAATTACATGTGTATAGCACCTTTCATGTCAGGAGGACGCCCCAAAGCGCTGGTCAGTCTGACCGGGGCTGTTTCTGTGTTGTGGGCGGCACGGAAACCCGATTGGAGGGGTTCGTGAAGGGAGTGGTGGGAGGAAGGAGCAAAGCTGAGAAGCAACAACTCATTCCAGGACCTTGGAGAGGAAAGGGAGGTGGAGATGGGGCAGTAGTTTGAGAGTAAAGATGGGTCTGGGGAGGGTTTTTTAAGGAGTGATGTCGGCCACTTTTAATGGGGTGGGAACAGTACCAGAGGACAGTTTATGATGTCTGTGAATAGAGGGGAAAGGGGGTGGAACTGGGAGGTAAGGAGAGGGGTAGGGATGGGGTTCAGGGAGTAGATGGTCAGTGTTATGCGGGATATGGTGGTGATGAGAGAGGAGGGGGTGACAGGTTCGAAGATGTGGAGGGAGGGGTGGGTAGGGAGGGGGTCACTAGACGGAAGGGCAGAGGCAGCTGAGTGAATTCCCTCGACTTTGGACTCAAGGAAGTCCAGCATCGCCTCGCAATTGACACTGGAGGTGAGGATGGGTGAGGTGTGAGAGGGTGAGCAGAGGAGCCAGTTGGTGATGGGGTTGTCCTTGGCCTCCATGATTGTCTTGGAGTAGAATGACAATTGAGTGGAGATGAGGGTGCAGTGGTAAGATTTGATTAGGTCCAGCCAGATCTGCCGATGGACCGTTAAGTTTGATTTAAGTCGGGTGCTTTCAGGCGGCACGAACCTGTGCTTTAAGGGAGCTGAGGTGGCTGGTGTACCAGGGTGACTTACGTGAATAAGAGACAGTTCGGGAAGAGATAGGAGCAAAGGAATCGAAAATGGAGGAGAGGGAGCTGTGGAGAAGAGTGACCGAGTGTAATAATGAATAATAATAATCCTTAATTTTGATATAGCGCCGTATCACTTCTTTGAGACATCTCAAAGCGCTTCACAGGATATACTGTAAAGTGAATTGACTGTATATTTTGTGGGTGAAACGCGGCAGCCGATTGCGCACAACAATTGATGTGCTGTGAGTGAATGAGATTACAATAAACTGAGGCAGCATTTTCCCCAATTCTAGTAAGTTCCAGTTTCTGGAACAAAAAAAATCACTTGCTACTAAACTCCTACCCTAATAAAGTGATGCGACCTGGATATTCTGTTTGCTAAAGAATAATAGATTCCAAAGAGACGAGGAGGGGTTGAGTGCGTTGTGATGAATTCTGTGCGGTCGGTGTTGCTGTGTTGTGCTGAGACCATAACATCCAACAACAACAACAACAACAACAACAAGATTCCATTTATAAAGCGCCTTTCACGTCAGGAGGACGTCCCAAGGCGCTGCACAGTTGGATCATGACCCAAGCAGGGGGGAAATGGTCAGGGTGAGGGGAGGGAAGGGAGGGAGCGAGGAGGGGGGAAATGGTCAGGGTGAGGGGAGGAAAGGGAGGGAGCGAGGAGGGGGAATGGTCAGGGTGAGGGGAGGGAAGGGAGGGAGCGAGGAGGGGAAGAGAGTCGAGAGGGGAGCTGAAGGCACGGTCAAAGAGAAAGGTTTTGAGACCGGCCTTGAAGGAGGAAAGGGAGGAAGCGGCGAAGGCACTGGGGGATAGAGTTCCAGAGCCTCGGGGCTGAGAGGCTGAAGGCCCGACCACCGATGGTAGGGCGGTTGGGGCGGGGGACGTGGAGCAGACCGGAGCCAGAGGAACGGAGGGTACGGGCAGGTAGGTAGGGGAATAGTAGGTTGGAGAGGTAGGAGGGAGCGAGGCCGTGAATGGCCTTGTAGGTGAGGGTGAGGATCTTGAAATCAATCCTCTGGGGGATGGGGAGCCAGTGGAGGCGAGCGATGGTGAGGGTGAGGGCGAGGGTGGGAGTGATGTGGTCGCGGTGTCT